CACTTTCACGCTTGTTTCACACATCACTATGTAACAGTATAGGGTAGACTGGTGCAACGCTTGCGGGTCGGCGTATGTTCACCACGGAGTCCGGAGATTATTTCATGAAAACGATTTGTCAAGGGTTTGAATTGGTATATATTATGTTGTTTGGAGCGACCAGTATGAATTGGGTCGCACACTACCCATTGCGAAATTCCACTCCTACAATACGCTTCATTCCAGGCAGTCGCGTCCATGCAGGTGGTTATTCACATTCGAAACAGAGGTACCTGACTGGGCCTATAGCTGAGCTAGTCCGACTAGGCTAGCGTGTCGTAAGCGAGGTGAATCTTGGCAGAGCCCTAACTGGTGCCCGAAATCTCCTTCCTGACAACGACGCGCAGTGGCCGGATCCTTCGAGTCTCACTGCATATCAGAGCTTCCGCTTTGGAAAAGCTATCAACAACGTGCGTACAGGCTTAGCTTCACCAGTCGATCGATGCGACATGAGCAATGCCGCATGCCAAGGATATAAATGCATGATGACACGCAGCTTGCATTGGATATGCGTTTATCTTAAGTGCGGGGACATATCTGCTCGGAACCATCAAGCAGAGGATGCGCGGACGGACGATTTGGAGAGGAGGGTGCTGGTATGCTCCGTCATGCTAGCCGGTACGCCGGGATACTTCAATTATGAAGGCGCCACGATGCGCATGTTGACTGTGCGGATCATGCTCCAAATGCTCATGCACGATAAAGAGACGGTTGAGTAAGAGACTGCGACCTTGCGATGGTCATGCATTCTCAGGCAGCGAGGTCGATGGCTGATAGCCAGGCTTCCAAGGACCATTGCCTTTCGGTCTGTCTAGCGAATCAAAGACATCGGCCCGCATCGTGTTACGTTCAGCCTACAGATTGCGGTGACATAGTGCGTAGTGCCACCTAGAGCGTCGTAATTGTACTGATCATAGCGGTGATATCGACGTTTATTTCGATCAAACCTTGAAAGCTAGTAACCCTCGATGTGCCTCCCACCACGGCATCGCCAACTTCCTTTTCCGAGCCGGAAGACTCCGAGATATCAAAGATGTCAGCCTTAAGCATACCAGGGGTTATATGTACGTGGCTGCAGTCGAATGAAATAACGGGCGGTTGCGGGCACGGTCGCATCCGTGGGGCTGGATCGGGAGTGATGGCTGTGGCGATGCGTCGCATGTTGGAGTACATACAGGCCGCACTGATGCAGTGCATCATCATTGCCTTCTTGCTGGGCACATCCCAGCTTACGGAAGCCACTTTGCAGATTCCAGAGGTAAACCTGTCCTGGCTGTCCAGCGCCCTATGCGCTTCATGCCGTTGCACTATCGGTATGTTTGCCCCACTTGCCCCACCTGGGCACCTTCCGGTCGGCTACGTCACCAATCTTATCGCACATATTCCGCATGTCTTGTGTTACACGACATGTCATTCTTCTGGCATGCAGAGACTTGACGAGCAGATATTCAGTCGCGCTATTATGTCTGGTGAGGGCCTGGCATGTGGAGATGAGCATTTGCTTGGATAAGATTAGACAATGAGATATCCAACATGTTTGCCTGTTCACCGATCAGGCTCCTTCCGCCAGCCAATCACTGCATTGTTCAGCCGCACTTTTCATCGACTTCTCGGTCTGCTGTTATTGCTTCTGCAAGCCTCAAATGATGCACCGATACATTGGTGAAAGGCCCATGCCGTCGGAGTTCTGGCAGCGAATCTCCAGCGCCACTTCGAGCAAGGTTGCCAGGCTGTGTGTGCATAACCGACGAGGCGCCCAATAAGATAGCATTGAACTTCGAGATGTGTCTGGGACACAAGTTGTCGTCCAAGTGATCATGATCTCCTCCGATAACAAATTGCGATGCCATTGGTGGCAAACATAGGGGGCCAACGTGCTGAGCACATGCGACTCACTGTGCGACAGTGAGTCAGACCGCAGGCAAGAACGAAGAGTAAGCGCGGAGCCATGTGGAAGCCTGTGTAATCGCCACCGTATCTGTATGCCTCCTATTCCATTCGCTGCGAGTTACGTTGATCAATAGTATCATTCGTAGATTGCAAGGGAGTGCCTGGCTCTGGGGAGGTTTCGGGTCTCTAAGTGAGGCAGAATTGTTCCGAGGCCTGGTGCAGCCGGGGCCCGAGGTATAACTTCCGGCGAGTGCGAGCCGATAGATGGAGTCATTCGCCATTGCGACATATCGTACGGGGCCGAAAACCGTCTGCGCAAGCCTTTATCCGAACGTGGCTGTTTTTCTGGGCGTGATGATGATATCCATACCATATCAGGAGATGCTGGATGCCTGCTAGTCTCCTGGTGATCTGTCTCTTCATCATCGTCTGATACGTGGAGCTCAGGCTCTGTGGGCTTCCCCAGCCATGTCTCAACGCGCTCCTGGGATGCAAAATAATCCCCAACCATATTTGGCGGCGCCTGGATTGAGCTGGAACTCGGGGTAGTGCTCTCCAGCAAAGTACAGTACATCGACTTGGCGAACTCTGGTTCTTGAAATTCGATTCCTTGCTCGGTACACTGTTGTTTGAGTAAATGTACATCTTCATGTGCCCTCGTGTGTTCTTCTTGGATTCTAGATCTTTGCACCCGTGCTCGGTCGAAGAATACAGCGTCAGTAGAAAGCTGACTGGTTCCCGCAGCGCGGATGAGCTCTCTTTCTTCTGCACGCTCACGAAGGTCGAATTCGAAATTGCTTAATCTCTCGTGATATATGCGTATATCGCCCATCCGCATATAGAGCTTTTCGAGTAGACCCATGTCATGATCATGGTCGTTGTCTATCGGTAAAGCAGTGTGGAGAAAACTTGATGGTGTTTGTACCGGTTGGTATGAGCCTTCCTGATCTGTTGACTGAGCGACATCGGAATAGATGGTTTCTTCCAGGCGGTCTAGTTGATACTCTTGGCTGGACAGGGCATCTTCTAGCACTGCGGTTTGCTCCCGCGAAGAGATCAGATCGGCTCTGCAACGTTTGAGCTCTTCAGATGTCTTGATCCAGTGATCCCAGCTTTCAGTACTGTTCTTGTAGATAGCATCCTCGCTGAGATAAGTCAGACACTGTGCCTGAAGTTTCTGTTCCACTTCCTCTTTATGCCAACACTGCAACCTCTCTTTTCTCAGGTTTGTTCGCATAACCAATATCGTACTTCGTAACGAAGATATGCGCGACCTATGTGATAGCCATATCTTCATGAATTGTGCTTGTGCTATTGAACTGTGGTCTGCGAGAGGCGATTGCGACATGTTGTTACAGGTGATAAAGGTTTTGACAGATGAACCCGCACGTTGTTCGGTCGGGTATTCGTCCTGTCGCGTTTGCGTGGCGGATGTATGATGTGGCAAAGTGAACGGTCCGGGTGCGTCGGTCTGACGAAGCAGAATTTCTTCGCTACCACTATTCATTTCAGCAGCTTCGGCGACTACATCGTGGGCTCTGGAATATGTAAGTGAGATGGCTCACGCCGCTGCTCTCCGTGCGGTGAAATACTTGGGCTTGTTATTGAGGGTAGTTGTCAAACATCTCGCAAGTCGTCAATGCTACAACTAGAAAGTTCTGTGATGTTGGAAGTATAGTCGAATATGATGGAAATTATGGTATTGATGTCTTGTAGGGCGGGTGTTGTCCTGTTCGCGTGTGGCTGTAGGAAACTTTGGGGCGCGCATCATTTTAAAGCCAATCACGCTAAGGCTGCCCGGGAGATACGCATCCATGAATCTAATCTAAGCGCGCTCACCGGAAAAGCCACATGGACAAGAGCAGACTGCAAGATGAGCTGTCCATCAATCTAACTTGCTCATCGATATCACACCTAACATGAAGACTTTGGAGCCGCATCACATGCGGCATTGGATGCGCTATATACCGTAGGTAGGCCCGCATCATGGCGGGGCACGAACCGTCGCACCGTGCACACAATGCAGCGGTATGACCTGTATGATTACACTCGCCAACTCTATTACTATTACGATTATGGCGCCAGCACATACATTTACGCCAACGGTCTGAGAGTCCCTGCAGTAACGTCTGCTACAGCGTACGTGGCCACCCAGCACTACTATCTACCTCGGTACCTTCCAAGGGTCGAAGCTGACTTTGCTTCTTGTGACAGGAGCGTAGGCAGTAATCAAGCTCAGGCAGTTGCTAGCACATCGCCAAGTGCAGCTGGACATGGTCATAACGCAGTTGACACAGGCAGTAGCGTGGATATCGCCAATACCTTCTCACGGCTTTCTGTCAACCATATCGATACAGCACCCGATAACCTTGGTGAGAATGCTCACTCGAGCCACACGTCTATTCAAGGGCGGTTTGAACTAATCACAACATAGCTTTCGCCCCATATCCAAGCAGCAATTATACGCTACCACAGTACGGGTACCCCCAAAACATCGGGGTCAACGCCGCCGCACCCAATCCATATCCTACCCATGTACCAACATCTTCTCGACCATCCGATGGCGAGTTGCTCGAGAACGTTGGCCGAGAAGTAGTTTTACATCCCGATGCATCAAGCACGCCGCCCGATTTTCCTCTATTGAGCCAAGGTCGGTGGCCACGAAGAATTCTCAGGGGATCTGAGAGACATGGAACCAGCGAGAGACTTAAACCGAGTATGTCCAGTTCAATCGTGGTGAAATAGTTCACTGACTGTGTGCCAGGCTTCCAGATTCAATACCCGGGCTACAACTTCTACAAACGTGGCGTTGTGTTCCGCGTGCTATGGCCTGAGCTGGCTGGCGACGTTAAGCAAGACATTACGATTGCAACGACCGGCGCATTTGGAGAGAAGACTTATTACAAGATCCGTTGGTTCGTCGTAATCCGAGAAGGGCACAATTGCTGTACCTGTTTGTTAGTTCCGGAGGCTTTGTTTTAGTTGTCATCAAGTCTAACAATTGCAGGTCGATCCAAACATATGGCGGCAGAGGCGTCCCAGAAAACAAGCCGAACAACCATCATGCCATCATGTACACCGGAAAGGCACCCCCACGAGCCACGGCTTCAGAAATCGTCTCGACAGAGCCACCGATGGGCCAACCTATCCGCGTGATAGGAAAAGAACCGTGGAATACCATGGATCCAAAGTCGCGTGTCAATTTCCTCAAACTCTATACCGTTGAGCACAATGTCAAGGTGGAGGACTTTGGTCATGTCGATCCCAACGACGAGTGGACATTGATGGCCCAATTCAAGTCGCATTGGGGAATCGAGGATGCGGAACCTCTGCCACCAGCTCGTCATACCAAGTTCTACGATGGTCATACCTTTGGGCCAGCTCCAACCCAAACACGACAAGATTCGTTTACTGAGTCGAGTCAAGCTTCAGGGTGGCAGACTGGGTATGGACCGGACTCAACAACACCCACGCCTACAGTGCATAACCCAGAACCATACCGGCAGTACCAAAGTCCTGGCACGAGCGCATACGCAAGCCCAAGCAATGCAACATACCAAGCATCCAACTATCCGTCTCAAGCTTACCCGAGCAGTGCAGCTTACCAAGCACCCGGAAACCAAACGCAGCCCACGCCTACTTTCTCATACCCACACCCTACTAACACGGCCTATATGGCTTCTCAAAATCCGGCTTATGTCGCACCTAGTACCAGCCACTACGCCTCGCCTAATACACAGAGGCCCACTGCGCAGTACGGATATATCCCAACGGGCAGCCAAACACAATACATGCCGGCAACGAACAGTAATGCCGACTTATACGAAGACGACCGTCGAACACCTCGCGCTCGCAGGCCTTCAGAAACTAGCTCTGGTAGAAGCAAACAACAGCATGAATCACAAAGGCGCAGATAGCAAATGTTTCCCTTTCAGATACGTAAAGCCTGGTCTTAGGCTGCGCCTTACTGGCGCATCATACTATAAGTGTCCGATGATCTAGCTCTTAACGATGTTGACCTCTTTCGAGATGACAGGTGTTTGTCTACATCAGCTCCATTCTCATAACTTCCCTCGAACTTTTGTACGATCTAGCTCTTTTGGCGAGATTTTCGCTCTGTTGCGCGAGCCAATTCACACCGTTGGGATCACGAGACTAGACAAGGATCTCCTAATTTTAGCTCTAGTAATCTTCCATCTGCGATCTGTATCTCATGACCATGCCGCATCGGATAGGTTGCATAAGCTTTGGCTACGACGTAGCGCAATAGCGACGATCATTAGACCCAGAATGTCCAGACCAAGTCCAGTATCTAGACTTACGCACACGTTACAACGCATGTGAGAGTACTACATAGCGGGTATCGCGTCGAAGATGAAAGTCACAGTCTACCCATCATACAGCAATCCTGCTACTCAGAATGCTAGGCTGTCAAAATCGACACTGTCGATCTGGACACATTTGTATAGCATATCCAATCATCTCGCATGCCATCGACGCAACCTTGCGAGGGCGCCCTGATCTACGGCGTACTGATACCTCAACTGGAGCCGGAATGGGCACAGGGGGCGAGGTGTCACGGTCTTCTTCAGACAAGATCTGAGGCGAGGAGCTTCCGACGTATATTGTTGATTGACTCGCTTCGTTGACTTGTGGTTGACGTTGATGATGGCTTTGTGCGGCAAGAGGAGCCAAGTTTCGAGCAGGAGAAGGAGGTGTGGCGACGACACCATTGGCCCCGCGTGCGGCAGCGAACCGTAAGTCCTGCCCGGAGGCTATATGGTGTGGAGCCACCGATATTTGACGGGCTTCATCGGTATCGTATGCGGTAACCCGGCATAGCTTGCTGGAAGAGGTGATGGCTTCATGCTCTTCTTTCTCATCATCGGAGAGCTTATTCGTGAGCTGACGGAGCTCAATCTTCAATGCCATGACCTAATCTCGGAGGTGCTTGGCATCGGTATCGGCATTGTGCAGTCACATTATCGTTGCAGTCAAATCACTCCACCACTTCCCATTTCTTGTGTTGAATAGAATTGGATCAATCGCGAATACATATGAGCCAATCAGTAGAACCAGTTCTCAGAGCAAATCGACAGTGTCGATTTGTGCAGTTCCCATAGCTAAGCGTGATGTGGCCGAGATTTTGGGGTATCAATCCGGTATCGTGAAGCTTATATGAACGATACCTCAAAGGGCTTTCCAGAAGTCATGAATGACGTGACCTGCGACACGGCAAAAGATAGCAGTATTGCGCTAGACCTTCATCAACACAACACAACACATAGATTCATTCCAATGGGAAGCATCATGGTGAAGCGTCAACGCATACAGGCGCTAGAGAGGAGGAGCAAATATCGAAGATGGTATCACTATTTTTGCCCGACTTTTTGGACTCTCGATACACGCCCCTCATTCATCGTCACTACAGCCTTGTTTTCGGCCACCGTGACTGTGGAGGGGACGATAGGCAGGCTGAGGTGAGGCTTTGTGCCCTTGTCGGCCTCGAGATCTGAGGAGTCTAGGAGTGCGCCGGCGTTACGCAGTGGGTAGTCGTCGTCCTCGAATGGGCTGGTACAGTTAGCACAGTAGAGCACATGAAGAGGTGCATGACATACTCTGAGCCGCCGACTTTGGTGACATTGCCTTTGGTGAATTGTGAGTCCATGTCAGTATTGGGGCCCAAGGTTATGGAGCTTGCTCTGCGTAGGCGTGGTCCCATGGTTGGGTCTGGCGAGTGAAGAGTTTGCGGATGGCCACCTTGGGAGGTTGCAAATGCAGCAGGCACCATGCTAGCCTTGGCAGTATGTCATTCGGTCGTATTCGGCAGCAACGCACTCAACAGGCCATCATCAAGCAGGTACAGATTTGCTCAAGTGGAATGCATCATTGGATTCATATTCAGACTTCATGGACTTTAGCAGTCAAAAGCCCTGCAAGCACGACGCGGCCGCCGCTGCTCGCAACCGTAAACGTGTCCGAGAGGGGACACAGAGGTAGGCTTTGTGCTACAAACACTCATCCCAGGCAGTACGCTCAACGACACGAGGAATCTTCTCTCCACTCAACTGGCAAGACTTGAGATTGGCGAGCACGTCGTTGGCTCCGATGTCCCTCAGCCAGTCTGTCTCGGGGTACGTCAACTTGGAGTGACGCCAAGGGCACTCGGCACCATGGGGACAGGTGTAGAAGGTGCCGAATGTGGCGTGGCAGAGACCGAGAGAGAATGAGGAGGTGGAGCTGTATTTGCTCGGGTCATACTCCTTCGCGTCCGCAGTGGCGTCGGAGAGCTTGGGCCTCCAATGGGTGAGGTTCTTGACAGTTGGCGGGCAGCCCTCGTCCGAGTCGGGGTTGATGACCGACTGCCAGGTCCTATAGACCAGACTGTTCTTGTTGACGCCCTTGGCAGACAGAATGAGCTTGAAGAGACCCATGCAAAACTCGGGGTCGGCGTCCTTAGGCAGGCCTGTAGGCGGTGGGGGCCCTCCGACCTGGACCTCTATCGCACCGGCGGCTTTGTGCTCTGCGGGCGCAGGAGCGTCGGTGAGAGGAAGTTGGAGTCGATGGGTGACATCGTTGACTGCCGTGTGTCAGTACTCATCACTGAAGCATCGCGGAATGGCACTTACTCAGCTTGTCGAACTCGCCGTTGACTATGGCGTCACTGACGACACTCTGAACGCGCTCACTGGCGGCTATGTTTTGTTAGTGGCGTCTACGATGCTGGTGGACAGGATGTACTAACACTCGACAGAATTGCTGGGCGCCTTCAAAGGCTCTTTTGGATCGGCTTTGTGCCCTTGTTGCTTTGCCTCTGACTTCGCTGCTCGATGTTAGCTATGAGCATGGTTGAAAGGGGAATGGTAAATACCCTTGAGAGCGGCGAATTGCGCTTGCACATACGCTTCAATCGCATCCATGGTGCAGTATAGGACAAGCGTGTTTTTGAGGTGGTGAGGATGGGAGGAAGCAGCAAGACAGAAAAGGTCGGTGGTTTGTTTGTGGGCGAGTCTGTGCGCTAGCTCACTGCTCCTGCCTGTTTTGAAATCACCAGTCACGTAGCTTCGCTGCTCTCGAAGGTTCCATGGAGCATAATAAGGCAATATGAACGTCTAGGTGAAGCCGTATTGATGTAAGAAACGCGTGAGTGTCAAGTTACCTAGGTACCTCTGGCAGTGTGCGCGTCCTCGTGATCTGCCCTCAAGAGGAAGCGACACTGTACACCTGGGCAATAACGCTTGGCTCAGGAACTCGAAGCCTCTCCCATTCTGCAACATTGGGCGCGTATAATCGCCTGGAAGGTTAAGTTTGAAGGTGGAAGGTCGAGTAGGAATTGCAAATGTGAAAGCTCAAATAGCAACATTTGAGGATTGCGCATAGCGCAGCTGTATGCTTCCGATCAAGGTGAAGACGAAACGACCTGACCAACGAAAGGGAACTTTGTTACTTTGACTAGATTATGAGATCTCAGTCTTACCATTGTGCCCGCATTGCAGCATCAATACATTCTTCGATAAGCGCCGTCAAGCGCTTTGCAAAAACAACGCAATGGCGTATAACTTGCCATAATTGACATGACTCTCAAGTTCAAGGCTTTCCCTCTCCGTGGACTGCACTTCGATCAGGTATCCCGCGATCTCGCTAGCTATGTGCCTGAGGAGGTCTCGATTAGTGCGATCTGCATGTGTGTGAGACGACACTGATTACATGTTGCAGTTCAAAAGAAGACACTACGCGTCTAAATACTTGTTGCCTCTCAGTAGACTGTGTAAGAAGGGGTGTAGGAGGTGTGTGGTGTGTGTTTAGTGCGACGGATTTCTGCGCACGAGGCCCACTTTCCCCGCGCTGGCCCATGCATCCGGGCCTCATGTGACCGCGAACACCGCGGACCCTAGCGCGCGATTCTCGTGTGCTCTGCATAACGCGTCACCAACACCCAGAAGACACGCGACTGATCAGAGCTGAAGCGCGAATTCCTCTACCGAAGCGCAAATCCACTGTCTCTAGGTCTCAGCGAATTGACTTGCCATGACGCTATGGTTCGTTCTCTGAAATCCGCCCGCGTCGCCGCCCGCGAGTCGTCCGCCGGTCTGGCGTAGCCGTTCCTATGCTACGAAGTCACCGCTCGCCGGGACGGTCCACGCTACGAACAAGATGGCACTGTCGCCCCCAGATGCCAGTTGGAGGTTCTCGAGATGCGCGCATTGCACACAGCCAGACTGAACATGGAGAAGGTGCCTCGATATGAGACCTCACCCAACTCTCGTTGCCGCACAATTTCAGGAATCCAATGACTACAGGGTCAGGCTGGTATGTTATGTCTGATCTTGTGTGATGGGTATTCACACTGACAAGATTGTAGATCGAGTTCCCTGTCGGCCCAAGTTAGGACTATACACGTCGAATCCTCTTCTATCGCATTCGCAAGCGCTATCCTACCACGGCCGAGCTCGCGTACACATATACCACACAAGGAGATGGAGATCAGCATGGCCAAACTCAGGCCATGAATCTACAATGGGCGCACGTCATCGAAGGCTTCACCACGCCAACCTAGGGAAAAACTGAACACCCTGGAGCCTACGTTAACGTTGGGCCACCCACGTTGCAGGTCTTTGTCTCAATGTAGTCCGCAGGCCTGTTCAGGTTTTTTCCTGTATGAGGTGTCACCGCCGTGGATCTGTTCAGCAATGCGGACACGTATAGTTCCGGGCATAGTACGCTCGGCCTTGGGCATCAGACCCCACCTATATGCCTGCAAGAACGACGTGACTGCCATTGGCATTGAGAGCATTGTGGCACCCACTACGCTCTGCTTCCACGGTTACACACTCTCAGACGTGCCAAAGGATACGAACAAGATTCTACCTGCGCAACCTGTCTCCTGCTTCCTCACTAGACCCACGAAATGACCTCTCATTGCCATACAACCACACGTCTTAATCTCCTCGCTGGTTTCACGACTCAATCGCCTCGGGGCCTGGCTACACGTATATCAAAGATGGTTCCAACGCCAGCAATTTCAGCAATCACATATGTCCAGGAGCTGTCTGCACACGAGTACTTCATGCCATTCATTCTTCAAGCTGCCATGCGTTGTCTAGTTTGGGACTGGATGGTACGCTTTATACACCTGCAAAGCTCCTTCGATACTTTGTACGAGACCAAAAAAGACTGTTAGACAAAGTACAGTAACAGCAATCCAGAACGTGTACCACTGAGGCCCGTTTCTTCTATCGTACCAAAACTGAGAGATGGATGTTGGCTTCGGTTGATCGAACCTTTCCTTCAACGTCATCAGTTCATCGCGCCAATATTCGAAGTTCATGGCACGGCGATCGGTCGACAACATTGCGTTTCGGTTCAGCAATGAAATATCCGGATACGCGATGTCATCATGTTGCGATCGCTGAGATTTCAACCACCTTTGCGTGCTAGCATCTTGTCTCGGGAACAACAAGTCTAGTGTTCGCAACGTTTCGTCGATGAGATTCTTCGGATATAAATCACTATGTCAATCAGCAGCTGACCATAGCAATGCATTCCAGGACCTGCCTTGTCTGATGATGGAGGAAGGTTGCATGATGAAAAACGCAAAGCTTCCGGTCGTTGTCGATGAGCCGCAAGTGGTTGGCAAGATTGTTGGTCCATTGGATCTCAAGCCCAGTGAAGCGGTACAAGTTGAACGCCGTGAATTCCTCCTCAAATGTCAGGTTCCCTGTATCGGTAGAGCTGACGACGAAGTGATTTGCGAGAACGGTCTTCACATCGACTTGATCATCGCTCCACGGTAGGAAGGTAGGACCCCACGTCAGGTACTTTGACGGAGCTCCCACATCCACCATCAAGAACAAGCGAACTACCAACCGGACTGATCCTTCCGCCATATGGCTCTTGCTTTCTTCACTTCTTTGTTGAGTGACCAGTGATGCGAGAGAGCGCTTGATCATCTCTTTCGTATGGCCTGCTTCTAGTTGCCGAATGATCATTATGATATCCTGATGCTCCCGAATGGTCACATGCTTGCCGCCATCAGGCTCAATAGCCTTTCTGCATTCTGCGGTGTAGTGTCGAAAATATGCATCCCAAGGGCAGCAGCCTCGATCATCCCTGACTGCAAGTATCCGGACAGGGTTGATAGGCCAATAGGCTTCCAGGACGTTACGCTTGTGTTGGGTCTGTATAGGGTCTTCGTTTGCCCTTCCGGAAAGCACCATGTTTGGAGTCGTGGCTTCGAAGCGGACATTGTTGCGGAAGCCTGTAATGTTTTTCTTATGGGTTGAATGCTTGGAGGTCCACATCAGTTACCATGTTTTCCAGGGCAGTGCTTGGATGACAGCGTGGCGCAGTCGGGGCTGAGTGCTTACCAGATGGGTGTCGTTGGGGGCGGGTTGCTCACCGGAAGGTATTGAGTGCGGGGTCGAACAAAAGTTCAGCCCATCCGCAACTTCTACGTGGTGACATCTCCTACTCGATGAGCGCCTCACCTTGAATTACGCATTGCGTGCACGATCATACGTCTCAAAAGGATGATTCAGCACAACGCCGATACATATGTTAGTCACAGCCCAAATCGAAGAGCTGCCTCGGGTTGCCGATCTGGTAACAATGAAGCAGTGTTCCCCTACGATCACCAATCCAGAATCGAGGGTTGTGGACGTAAGAGTACGTCTAGGTGGAAGATTCCTGCAGCGAAGTCGGGCCAATCACGAGGACTCAGTCGATATCGAACATCCAGTTCGTGTGGATCAAGAAGCGAACCCAAAGTGGAAAGATGGCCAGCTTTGCTGGGAGGCCAAGGGGAAATGTGCTCAAGTCTACGCAGAAGCAAAGACCAAGCTACTGAGAGAGTTAGACCAGTCTCAACGAGAGTCTTTCTGTGAGATTTGTGTGTCACTTTTTATGGTAGGAAAGACGCCTCGAAAAGCGAAACCTATGATCATAATTTCCAGCGAAGACAAACGATCACGGGAAGAAGCCAAGAGAGCCATCACCAGAAGCGGCGTTCTGGCGGATCTTGGCTTCGAGATCGGGGTGCTTAAGTACCTCCCATCAGGCCCCACTCATCCTGCCGCCGGATCACCTAGCGAAGCATGTTGGGATTCAGCATCAGAATCCGAAGGATGGGATTCAGATACTTGGAAAGAGAAGACGCCTGATCCTTCTTTCCACCCGAATACGCCTGTCTCTTCATCTGCCTACTATGATTCTAAACAGGGGCTACGAATCACCGGAATGCCCATATACGTCAAGACAGCAGATGGTCGATCAAGAATGGGAACAGCCAATGTCGTGCACAACGGATCCAAATACGGTTGTATTACTGCAGCCCATATTTTCGGTCGTCTGCATCAAAGCCCTTCTTCGATCGATGATGACGAAGATGATCTCGGTATACCATTCGACAGCGACAGTGATAGTGAGGACAGCGAAGACGATTTGAACGAAAAGACATCTTTCGCTGGGGCCCTGTTGTCAGGCTCAGTAAGATCAAGACAATCTAACGTCTTGCACGGAGATGGTTTTGGTCTCGGGGGAGCTACTGGGCCTAGCGATCTCTCTGAAGTCTCGATAGATCTGCCGCATGGTCTGGCCTTACTTGGTCATCTGGAGCCTGACCAGGAGCCCGAAAAGTCTTTGGATTGCGCTATCATAACCATCGATGACCCTGGGCTTCAACGGACGCTCGACAGGACCAGAGTTCTCAAGGAAAACAATGTCTCTCATATGTCGAGTTCTACAGCCGAGCCTAAGCCTTCGATGGCTACAGCATGGACCACTCATGGTCCTATTCATGGTACTCTCAACAAAGTACCTGTTCTCATGCGTCTACCAGGGAGCATGTCGTTTCAGTCTGTATACACCTTTGTGTACGAAGGTGAGATCAAGCGTGGCGATTGCGGATCACTAGTCCACGACACTACTACTAGAGCACTGTACGGCATGGTCATCGCTGCTGCCGACAGGCAGCCCATTGCTTACATAATAGCGGTGAAGGGATTGATGAACCATGTCGCGAACGCAGGATGGCATTTGCTGGATGCCAATGATGACTATATGCACTCTAGCGACATCCATGACGAAGCTGCGGATATTCAGACAGGACATATTTCTTCGACGGCTCCTTTATCGATAGACAATCTTGAGTCAATATCATCGCAACCGAACAAATTCCAGACAGCTACACCCGAAGCACTATCGACAGCAACAAACAACTCCCAATCGGTCTCCTTGCCAACACGAATATTTGGAGTGGAAGAATCACTAGCCAGAACTACTCAAGCCGTGTCTGGACAAGCACATCTTACCGGGACATCACATCTTGGGCAACCACAGCCTGAATGGAGCGCCCAATTTGGGAAATATCTTGTCACCCTATGGAATGTACAATATGGACGCTACTACTGGCAGCACTACATTGAAGGTCCGTGACTGAACCCTGGCATATGTATAAGCTGACTGGAAACAGGACAAGGTTGGGTATTCTTTGACTGGGTGCCTTTAACGCATGAAATCCCACAGGCTCAACCTCAACTTCAACCTCAATTTCAGATCCATGCGCGCAATGACTCTATACCGACAGTCACAGCATCTGGAGGTGGATTTGCTGGTTATGGGAGAGGAAAAGCTATCTATGCGACCTACAACTCAACGAATCCGAGTCCTAACAGCCACTATGAGACACTCGATCCATGTTAGGCTCCAGTCCTCACCATATGTGCAGCATGCTGACTTACTCTAGCTTTCTACGTCAGGGGCAGCGCTTTCTTTGAGGAGGGCAAGGCGGGTAGCAACCATTAAGGGTGATGTCAAGATTGCTGACAGCTTTGCAGGTCTTTTCAGTCCTCTTCACTGAGCCAGCAGGTGCCAACGCCCTGACCGGGCTGAATCCCATGGCCGACTACAACACGAGCCTGTCTATGGTCAAATACAATGAATACGTAGATACCCAAATACGGAGGTTCATCGTCACGAAACGTAAACGCGAGTTCTTCTTCGCTGTGTACGTGATCGTCCGTTTGACACACGCTGCGAAATGACTAACACTTGGCAGTCCTATCTTCACCTATTACGGTCAAGCTACCACGAAGCATGGAGTGGCTGCTGACGAACATGCCATTGCATATTCATTCGGACAGCAACCGCAACTTGTACATGGTGAAGCGCCATTGCGGAAGTCTCCCATCCCGATTGTGATGGAAGAAAATAACAAGGCATTAGCCTATGCCTCCAGGATCTTCTTCGCCGTTCATCACCCGATTCAATACAATGTCAAGGTCAAAAATCTCGGTCACGTGCATCCCGATTATCTACCCACCTTCCTTGGATACTGGAACCAGGAGAACAGCGACTCAAGACAAGACATTGATATCACCGCGGATCAAGGTCGCGTGGACGAAGTTCAAGGTCATGAGACCCAGGATCCCGTAGACATGTATTAATTCACAACACATCAAAACATCAACAGCTTCCCTCTCTTATATCCCATTGGAGAAAGCCCTCTTCTATTGAAGTTCCTATTATGCCGATAAAGGTAGCATTGATACGTGGCCTTGTCGTCTTTTTTTCACACGTCTTTCGGTCGATCAAGAATGCTTTGCTCCCATTCATTGCTTCCATATGCTTTTATCAAATCCTGCGATACGATTTCATGGATGATCAACGACGCTCATCAGCGTCATTTTTTATCAACAGTACCTGGCGTCCTAACCGTGAATTTAAAGCGCCTTCCCTAGATCTGTAATGGTAAAGATTCTACTCCGCACCTTCAACAACATACCCCTCATTTGCATGCCAAATCAAATCCATCGCATAAACAAACAGCCTATCCTCGAAGAGCGTACGAGATGCATGTAGCCCGTCGATCTCATGTTGAACCCCCATAGCCCGCCGCGCTTCGGGTAAGTTATAAACCCAGTCGGCGAACAACACATACTCCCTATGATGGCTCCGTACAGTTCTTCTGCCATTGCTTAGATCCAACACCGGGCCATACCAAGCACAACGCTCGCCCCGTTCGTTGAACTGGAAGTGCTGCCTACTGAACACATCCAGTTCATGCACATCTTGTTCGAGGCTACGCAGATTGTTCGAGAACGTCTCATAGTCCGATACCAGTACATTCATCGCAGGAACCAACGTGAACTCCAGCGTGAACTTGAGGTTATGAGCCTCGGTCGATGATGGTATAAGCTGTGCCTTTGTGCGGAGCGCGGTGAGATTCTTAACCAAAGCCTTGAGAGGAGCGAAGATCTCTTCGTAGCTTTGAACAATGAAGGCGTTGTTGAGGGCTGTGTAACGGTCTACATCCAGATCCTCATTAAGTTCCAAGGCGATGCGGGCGGCGCGCTCGGTTTTGTGGAAGGTGACGCCGGCTTCTCTATAGCGATCTTCCAATGAGTTGCAAAGATTGAGAAGACTATCGGCGCGTTCAATGATCTCTTGGATACCGGTGCGGGCTTTCTTGGCCTCCTCGTCGGCTTGCTCTGGAGGTACGGGTTCGCAGTTTGGGCACATATTGGTGATACGACTGACAGGTTGGCTTGGTTACCCCTAGTTAGCTCTGGTTGCAGTGGCTGTGGGAAATGATAGGGTGAAATTACATCCTGTGGTATAGAGAGCTACAGCAGCGAGCGCTGTGAAGCTTCGCCCCTAGAGTGTACATGTAGTCTGCACAGCGTGTTAAACTTCGTTCACCCACCGTCTCACCAACCCTCGACGTCAGTAACAGCCAACATAGTCCAGTACGGGTCTTTCCCAATTCCCTCGTCTTCCACCACGCCATCGACAAAAGCTTCCGTATACGCAGACTTCGACTTCACCACCCCATGCTCAATTTCCAAAAAGGTCTGTACCCACATCCGAAACATGTTACCCTCGCGACTGTGCTTAGCGGCTAGCGCCTCAGTTCCATCAAGATCGGAGCGCTCGGCGAGCTTCGCTACTTGCTCCTCCACCCATACCAGTCCAGCCTCCAAATTCCGAAGTGGTTTTGCCAGTTGAGAAAGCGTGAGTTCACATTCAGCTTCCAGTACGCGAAGTCGATCGACGTTCTCTGGAGCAGTGCCTCTTGATAATACCCATTTTTGCAGCACTGCATAGGCAGCGTCGAAAATTTCGTCCCATGGGTGAAAGAACGGCTCTTCAGAGCGCGGGCGGCCGATTTCGAACATTTGGCTGAGCCGTGAACATACAGTCTGCTCGACTGCTTTCGAGCTACAAGTAGCGATTGAGCGCCGGAGCGCATACGGAATCTTGTGGTAGGCGACTCCAGCGAGTCGAAACCGCCTTTCGTATTTGTCCAGTCTGGCGAGCCATGAGAGGGCCCGAGGCTTTGCCCAGTCAAGCCAATCTTCGTATACCGCCGCAGGAGCTAGGAACGCTGTGTTCGCGCTGTCTAATTGCCAGTCATACGGTAGGTTGTTGATCCATGTGTCGATCCGCTTCTTCTGGGATCGTGACAAAAGCTGGCCATACGTTTGTTTTGATGAGATAGCCATGGGTGTTTGATCGTGTTTCGGGCAGGGCGGTCGCGCTCAGTCCTGTAGGACGGCTCTGGGTATCCTTGACCTTCTGGATGTCGCCTGCGTAGTTGGCTGATCCGTGTTGATATTGGTTGATCACGCAGATTGGAAGAGGCGGGTGGGGGATGTGGTCGAGCGACGGGGTTAGGTGCTGCGCCCCGTATCCGTCAGTCGCCTGTTGTTGTGATGGAAACGCAAATGGCCGTTTGCACGTTGTGGTGTGTGCGCTAGTCACACTCATAGTGAATGCAGCTTTGGCCATCGCAGCGTTTGTTGAAGCGCACTTTACCACGTAAGCCTAGAAGGTCTACCGACGACAAGCTCGCGCTGATGAGTCAACTCCAATAACAGGCTTGGCCTTGAAGTATACACTACATTTTTGCTCCATGTATCGTGTATATGGAGTACAATGTATACTTCAGGGTGTGGTGTGATGGAGCGCGCGAGTTGAGTAAAAGACGCTTCTCCTTAGGGTCAGCGCTCTTGGATCATCGCAAATACTTTGGATACCAAGCGGTCCATGATGGAAATACCATTCTCTTCAAAGCAAATATATGATATGAGAACGTCAAAACCAGAGCTCTGCGCCAACGTTGCGCAACTTCGATAGGATGGAGAATGAGCGCTCCATGATTTTGATGACGTCACGCGTTCGCGCGAGCCGCGTCCTCACGTGGCAATTCACCTAGCTGAGATGAGCCTTGTTTTGGTCGCTAGTCGGTCTTGTATTCCGCGAAGATGAGATGACATTCCAAGGTCGTCGCGTCCCGTGTGGGTGAAAGAGGCTGGTAGGTACGGTTTTCCCCTGAGATGGCTGGACTAATGACGTCATCGATGCGACTCATGCACGCATGTGACAGGCAGGGCAGACCTAGAGCCCTCACACTTGACATGCGCACTACCAGCCCCCCACACTTATGCTTTTGTTCTGATATCGAATAGAGCAAATGCAAAGTTCATTAATCATCAAATATACACCAAAAGCTAACTACCTGGGTATGTACCCGATCTCTCCTAGACCCACCCACTCAAAATGTGTGCAAAACATATACAATAAGCTCAAGAAGTATGTACTCATCACATCGTAAACACACCATCCACCTCCCTACTTCGCATCAGCAGTAGCCGCTTACTGCCCACCAACAGCGATAGTGAACAACGTCGGGCTACCAGCGAAGATCGTGCCTGCCACATCCTGACCACCATCCGGAACAACATCGTCATATGGGAAAGCGTACCCACGTCCATCTTTCTGCATCTGATGAACGATGCGGGAGTAGTGGTTGGTCGTCGGGTCCTTGTAGTACTGGCTCGGGTTGCTGCCGTTGGGGAACTGGTTGCCAGGCGTGTTTAGCAAGATGCTTCGGTTGAAGGCCGCGGCAAGACGGGGGATGACTGCGTTACGCGCTTGGTTCGATCCAGTTGCAAAGGGCCCAGTGCTGCAGGTGAAGATATCTCTAGCTGATGGAGCAGCAAACTTTCCTGCCTCACCTAGTTCGAGCTCGTTGCCTTGGACGCGGCCCTTGAGGTTGCCGGCTGCGGCCTGGGTGTTGATGGTCATGTCCTCGTTGCGGTACTTGTTCCACACTGCCTGGACGTAGCCGTTCCAGTAGTCGCCCCACGCATTCTCATTGCCAACAAGCAGGTTGTTCGGGCTCAGTACGCGCAATGGCTGCCCGTTGGCCTCGTAGATCAGCTTATCCCACGGTCGACCGTCACGCTGGGCTTGCGCGCGCAGCTCTTCCATGATTCTTCGGAAGCCATCGGCGCCCATGCCGGGTACTGTTTGGGTCTTGCCATCGTTGCTGGTCAAGCTGAGGGCAACGGGAATGCTGACAAAGTCGACGTAGCTGATATTGGCGAACAACTGCGCGTCATTGTAGGTGAACTCGCAGAATGTCCAGTTGATGTTGAAGTTGGGATCGCTTGGATTGGTCACACTGGGCTCAACGACCGCAGGGCCTGGGTTGAGGAGAAAGGTGAGCTTTGCGCCGATGCTGAACCAGATACGACCGCCGGCAATCTTGGGGATCCTGACGTTGACGGTGTTACCCGGGCGGCCAAGTGGAATTGCGACATCAGCTTGGAGTGGCTGTTGGATATCCTTAGGAGCTACTGGGTAGTAGATGGACTGGCCGTCTGCTTGGACAAAGAGAGGAGTGTTGTTTCGCTCGAGAGCAAGGCCGGTGATGTAGCAGTATACATTATCGGAGTTCGACTTGTTCTGCAAGGCCAACTGAAGAGTGCCGGGTGCGGCCTCAGCGAGAACTTGTTGCTGTTCGTTGTTGGCTTGTGGAGCTGCTGCGCGCTTCTCATTGCCGGCGTCGGCGGGAGTGGGAGCGGGTGGTGCCGGTGCCGGATTATCCTCCTGCTTGCCCCGATTTTGCCAGCTCTGACGGCGCTTGTTGACGAAGCTCTTGAACGATTTCATGGTAATGTTTAGGACAAATTCCGGGTATAATGATGAAGAAATGCGACGGTAAAGTAAGGGAGAATGCGAGTTGCAAGAAAGGCAAGGAAAGCAGCGTATATCAACAGTGTTGTAATTGCGCAAACCGCGAGTACGTCACACAAGATATATCCTCGTCCAGTTATAGTCAATGCACTGAACGCGCCAATGTCCTAGATTTCAAGGCGTGAATGCAGGGTCCAGCTGATGTCACACATGCGACGAGATTCCAGGGCGATCAAGGCACGTGCAAACCTGTTGCGATCGCCGACTCGCGCGCGGGCCTAACGTCAACAATTTCGCGTTAGCAACCAATCACATTTTCACAAGCGACACCACCTTGTCGCGGCCCGATGGAGGAGAATCCCATCTTCAAACCACGCGTGGCGCGCTCGTGGCATCTGAATCTGACACTTAAAACGCGGGGTGCAGTGTGCGTGGTATCTTGGGACTGGTATTGGACGGCGCCCGGTAGGCGGGTTAGTGTCGTAAAGGAAGGTATTAATGAGCGGTAAGCGGAAGTACGCGATGCTTTGCGACAGTGTACATTGGAAGAGACCCGTTTTGCCTACTTTGTGCCTGGTCCAACGCCTATCAAACACTGGAATTGTCTGGGTTAATCACCGTATGCCACGCCAATACGCTGGAAACGCGTACAAACTGTATGCCCTCAAGGTAAACGGCTATCGTACAGTCCGATGCAAGATGCTTTGTACAAGAGTGAGATCGGCAGTCTGATTCACATGCTAGGGCGAAAGGCCTCGAGGCATGCCCACGAGCTCGCAGACGAGTGATCTGTAATGCGAACAGCGCAACGGCGCGATGCAACGTGTTGCAGTGCGTCCAGTTGTCGTGAACAAAGTCGCGCATGACTGCCCGTGGCGATTATTCGACGTCCTGATACGGGGATCAGAACGGTGCTCCATTTCCAAAAGACATGCCAGTATAGTTGTTGTAGCTGTCCTCCCCCCAAATACCTCCCGCCATATCGAAGAATTGGCTCATGTCGAAGTCGGCACCCCTCATAAGCGCGAAGGGGTCGTTGCTAACCTCGGTCACGGGGGCGTGGTTCATGTCTATGCCGAAGTCTTCCATATAGTTGGTGCCTGCTAGCGTATTGTATTGATCTTCCGCGTGTCGTGTCGGACACGTTGTTGGTGCGCTGGTGATGGGACATGAGCTTCCGCTCACACTCCGCTCAACCGAGTCGCTGGGCGTAGATCCTGATGGCGTCTGGCTAGACCGCTCCGGTCGAATTTTGCGAATGTACCAATTCTTTGTCAGTTCATTGATCATTCGCATAGCGTGCCAGAAGTCGGGGTGGGGTCGCTTTGTTTTATCGAACGTCGATAGAGTCTGCATCCGATAGCAAAGTGATTCAAGACAGAGATCTAGGCGCACTCTTTCTTGAGCAGCTTGAGTATCCCACCCGATGGCGGCATGGTCTTCACTGGGTATGCATAGCTTGGCGACCGTCATGATGACTGGTGGTAATCGCATCCATTCCGAGAACGATATGAGGTGATATTCGTGGGCTGGAAATGAAAGCAAAGTATCGAGAAAGCGCTTGCTGGCTTCAAGAGAGGAGAGTAGGCTGTTGATCTGTGACGAACGTACCGATGCCGGTAACTCCGAAGGAGACGGCCGAAGGGCTACGCTGTGCAGTTGCATCTTGGCGTATGAGAAGGAGAGTTCGAGTAGTCGTTGAGAGGGGACACCGTTGCACTCCCGTTTCCATGTATCGAGTTGTACATCTATGAATCGAACGTGCATCAACGCTCGCCCATCAGACATTGGCAGTTGCGAAGTGTTAGCTGTGAACAACTCATCTTGTACTTGGTCATCAATCTGCCGCAGAGATATCAAAAGGCTAATGGTCTCATCGGTTTCGTACTCGCGATCTTGCTTCAAGCTTTGCGCCCACTCGGTCATGGTTGAAGTATGCTTGAGCAGATTCGGCTTCTGTAAACCTGCCGCAACCCTGCTAGAGTCAGCATGCAAAGTCACAATCTGGTGACAAGATCACATACATGGACGAAAGGTAATAACAGCCTAGGAAAGCACGGCGCCTTTCGCGCAGTTCTTCAGCTGGTGGTGGTGGAGCTGGAGGTCGCTTTGGCAACATTGGAGAGATCAAAGGCTGAAAGTCTTGGTGTAGGCCGATGTCTAGAGCCAAGCCTGTGACGAGATTATGCAAAAAGAAGATTTGCTGTGTTTTGTGGCTGAAGACAAAATGGTACCTGCGCAGATCAGTAGATTTTCAGCAATGGTGGGTATCATCCTACCATGACAGATAGACCAGTACGCTTTGAACTAGGCCCAATGTCCTTCGGGGTTGTAAGATTGTTCTGTTAGCGAGCTCTTGGCGAAAGATACCATCAAGTGCCATCTGGCGTGTGTGATGTTCCCATGATGCCACCAAAAATATTGCGAGTGCAAGCATGGGCCTGTGCTCATGAAGCTGTCTTGCAGTGACTTGGGGCGGTAGCATAACAAAAGGGAACGTGGCCGACATGTTTCGATACTCTATCAGTAGTGTGTCTGCTTCGCCGGATGTGAGCAATTGCTGGACAACCTCATGCTCGATAGGAGCTTCGGGTCGTTTCGAAGTCCTAAAGATGCCCTCACGAGAGTTAGGAACATCTTCACGGTCGTCAAATCTGTGGATGGTGCGGATCTCCTCAAGATACTGTCGATCGACTTCAGCACTCTCTGATGCATCGTCGGTACTTTGGTCAGGCGGCACGGCGTTCGGTTCGTAGGATGGTGTCGGCATCCAGCTACCCGGCGCCGTGTTGACTAGTCCCCGATTCCGCCAACGTTCCGCTGCGATTTCTCTAGGGATTGGCTGCGATGCATTTGCTGAGTCTGTTGTGACTTCACTGTCAGCCGCATGGACGAGCTTGGCTACGAGGCCATCGATCTTTTGCTCGACCTGCGCGATTCGGCTACGAATATCATGAGTTGAGATCGAAATAGACAGGCAGCGACTTACGAAGGTGCACGCAGCTTCCTCGCTCTACGCGGCGCTTCAGCCCAGACACATTCCTTGCCAGCTGAGAAACATCTGGCGGATGGTCAGCGTCTTTGTAAAGACATGAAGATGTGGAGCCACGGCTAAAGTACCACGCTCCCATTGGCTGGCATACCTCTGACATAGTCCAGATTGGGCGCTCGGCAAACATCGCGTCTTCAGGTTCCGGCAGCGTTGGCACGCCTGTGTTGTTCGCGGTACACCCGCTCTCGCGGACGGTTGCTCAGTTTCCTCCATCCGATGCGATGGCGCAGGATCGCTGCAGGTGTGAGGAGAGGGCAAGAGCCAGACCCAGCACGGGACGGAGGCACGATCAACATCCGTCCCGGGTCGCCTAAATTACTCATCCACGCTAAACTCCTGGGGTCAACTAGGTACCAGCATGAAATGAACACTGCAAACATACGACATTCCAAAGACACATTTGTATCGATTGAGTGCTCAACGAAACATTGAACCCTTACGCTTCAGTTTTATAAACTTCCTCTTCTGCTCTAACAATTCCCAGGCTTCGTCGTTTGGAACCTCGGGAACCATCAAACCACGAGGGACTTCGCTCATTGTGTACAACTTGCAAGCGCACTCAGTTAATCTAGAACTGTAGCTTTGACGCCAATCTCCAACCGTACCAAAGCGTTGCACCAATCGAAATGAGGTTCAGATGTATGCTCATCGCATGAGCTCTAGAAAATGCCCGATTGAGAACCATCATGTCATCGCTCATGGCCCCATTGAGCTGCGCTTTGCCATCGCGAGTCGCTTGTCTTTCCATCAGCTATCAACGAATTCGCCAAGATCCGTGGATACTCACCTTGGTGAACCCTTTCCACCATCAGGTCCTTTGTCCTCGGACCAAATACAACCAAATTGAACCCAGCAGTAACACCAGCGACTGCGAAAGCGATCCAGTCACTCTTCTCTGCAAGCAACGAAAGTGGCCCACGAGGCGGAAATGTCGCAGCGACGATGAGTAAAAGAATCGACTGGCTTTGGAAGTATATTGGAAAGACACGCTTCTGCAAAGTCGTAAACGCTGATCTGGGAAGAGCTTGGTAGGAGACTTTCGTCATTACGAAAGTCTGGTACAGCTCGGTTCCGAGTAATGTGGAGTAGGCCAGGAGGTGAACGGGCGGGAGAAGGGCCGCAGCATAGTTAGGAAAGGTAGACATAGCAATGTCAATTCGATTCAGAGGATAGATTGCGGTATAGATCAAGAGCCGCTCTGAGATATCGATACCCATGCGGCATCAGCAAATCTTTGACTTTCGCTGCCGCCTAGCATAGCGGATCTGATCGGGAGTCGCATGGACGTTCGCATCCGTCCCGGCGAGGCTCTAATGCATTCATTTTCCGCATCCCAAAGACCTTCCGCATCACCAGCTACAGCACGCGAAACGAGTAGATAGAGTCGCGAAATGCGTCGTAGGCGTGTCCTGCTCATGACGGCATGAAGCATCTCGGGCTGCATTGCCGCGAGGTACCTGACGATTAGCGCCGCACCCCGCAACTCCTTTACCATCCATCCCAACTCCCCGAGGATCTGCCACCACCACTCGCTTTCTGGCCATGCTTCCGCGCATCACGAGCGCATGTCGAGCTGCTTCAGGCAAAGTCAAGATGCAATATGGCAACCCAAATCTGGAAGATCTATGCATTCCATTCCGCCGGCGCAATGGCTGAGCGCGGTATAGCTGTCGCTGTCACGGCTAACGACGTACATATGTACTGGATGAAGCTCACACTCTAGGATTCATAGTATCATCCCATTAGACAATCGAACGCCTTCAATATGCGCGCAACACTCCTCTCTCTCCTCCCTCTCGCTCTCGCAGCACCAGTCATACTCCACCGACAAGCCACGAAGCCCATATACTGGCTCCTAGCCGGCGACTCAACCACAGCCACCAACGGAGGCTGGGGCGACGCGTTCCTCTCTACAACCGTCGCGAGCAGCTCCTCGGGGCATAACTACGGCCACAGCGGCGCGACAACCAAATCGTTCCGAGCTGGCGGCGACTGGGCAAACGTAACCAGAGACATTGGCACGTACAAGGAGGACTACAGGGTTTATGTGACGATTCAGGTACTATACCACACGTATCAGGGATCGGGATAGCATGACTAATTGTCACCAGTTCGGCCACAACGACCAAAAGCCCACCTCTGGCGTCTCCCTAACAGACTACCGCACCAACCTCGCAACCTTCGCCTCCGAAGTCATAGAAGCAGGCGCAATGCCCATCCTCCTCTCTCCGCTCACGCGTCGCACATTCAACACAACCACGAACCGCGTTATTGAGAACCTGTCGAACGAGACGGCCATCACACTCGACGTCGCCGAGGCCAACGACTTGCACGTCATAGATCTGAACAAAGCATCGACGGCGTATGTGAATGCGATTGGACAAAAGGGCGCGGATACGTATAACTGGGGTGAGAATGGTACAACGGGGAATGATCGCACACATTTGAATCCGTGGGGTGAGGTGGTGTTTGCGCGCATGGTAAGTGATTTGTTGGTGGAGAAGTACGCGGAGGAGTTTGGGGATTGGACGGTGGGGAATGAGACGTTGAGTGCGTTGATCAAGGATGGAAAGGTGGCTTAGGTGAGTGTTGGTCAGATACTGGATACCAAGGAAGAATTCGATCACGTTCAGGCTTCGTCAAGAGAATAACATCAAACGGATGATTTCAAAACTAGACATCGCTACAAAGCCTCACGGTGCTCGTGCTACAGTCATCACTCAACCATATCCCTGCCCTTCATACCCACCACTAGCCCACCGCCTTCCCTGCGCCTCACCCTGACCCTGCACGTTATTGATCGTGGTTGTACTCGAGTTCGGCGTATCCCAAGGTGCATACTGGCTACCTGGATTCGTATACTGACTGCTCGGCCTCGAAGCCGGAGATGAAGCTGCACTTGTGTGCGAATAAGGCATGTATGATTGCTGCGTTGGAGGCAGCGGTGGCGATGTATACGGCAAGTACTGTTGGTGAGGGGGCTGTGGCGCCTGCGATGGACCTGGATACAACCACGGTTGTGCTTGATTGAACTGCTGTGATTGTCGGTGTGGTAGTGGTGGAGGGTACGACTGGTTTACAGCACCAGGGTTGTTGCCCTGTGGTGCAATCGGGGGCGATCCATACTGTGGTGGAGACGCGACCTGCTGAACTTGAGCAGCGTAGTCGTGTTCTGATATTGATCGGTCCAGTGGTGGTGTGGGCTTCGAATAGCTGGACTGCCGCTGCTGGTGGTATCGATTAACTGCTTCCAGGTTTGCGACTGACTTGCGATTGACAGCCTTGCTGTTCCTCTTGAGTCCGTGGTCTGCACTCCCCTTCCTCAACGTCGTGCTGTCAGGCTGCGGCACGCTAGCTGTGGATCCAATCGAGCTGTATCTCTGTGATGGGAGGGAAGAGGCCGAGTCTTGTCGTTGTCGGTCGTCAATGGACGATCGCATACCTTCGGAGGATAACGGTGGAGATTGAAGTTTGCCCTGAGCGGGTATAGGGGGTGAATGGCCAGCGTACGATGATACTGGGACCTCTGCAGCCGGCTGAGCATGTGGAACCGTTACAGCCTCTGCCCTTCCCGGTCTGAGGTGAAAAGGCAGACTCCAGGGCTCCTGAGAGTGCTGCCCATGTGGTGGTGCAACTTCCTTTTCATCGCTGTGTATGCTGGATTTGCGAATCATTTGCGAGGGCAATGGTGGTACCGGGCGACGGCGGTTTATCCCAACGCTGAGGCTTGTTGGAATCTCCTGGTGCTTCACGGTCCGGAACCGCTTTACAGTTGGGTTGCGTTTGCAGCGGTCCTGTGCCTCTCTCAACAGTTTTCGTATCTTGTCCTCATCGGTTAACTCTTCTTCAAGTTCGACATCAGTGACACTGCCTGCGTCAGTCTGTCCAGCCACGGAGACATTGTCACCTTCCCATTCGTCATCATCAGTCTCTTCCTCCTCTTCATCATCGGAATCTTCTTCCTCCTCCTCCTCATCATCATCATCATCCAGATCGGAATTTTCATCCTCTTCTTCTGACGTATCAAGTGCTTCGGTTGCAGATCCTCGATTTGGATGTCGTGCGTAGACATTGGCGCCAGCCTTGAGTAAAGCGTCGACACAAGCTGATTGACGATAAGCGCAAGCTTCAACGAACGCTTCATCCAAGAGGTGATCCGGAGGTTTTATCGCGAGAAACTTGTCCAGAATAGTCTTGTTGCCTCGAATGGCAGCTGCGGAGATAGCACTTCGGTACATTCCGCCTTGAATCCGAAAGTCTGCTCCAGCATCAAGTAGCTTGACAACCACCTCCATACGGTTGAAGTATGAGGCGGCTACGAGAGCGGTATGATATTTGCCATCGTGATGATTAACGAGTTCGATGGCTCGATCGAGAAGTTCCTCAATGATGGCCATATCGGCTTTCATCGCTGCTATTTGTAGGGCGTCGCCATACTTCCCCCCCTTTGCATGTACATCGGCCCCATGTTCTATCAGCAACCGCATAATTTCCAAGTCGTTCCCGTAAGCTGCAGCAGCTACAGTGGAGCCAAGTATGCCTCCCAGCGCTGAAGCATTGGCACCGTTGTCGAGTAAGCGCTGCACGACAGGTAAGACGCCAGACTGAGCGGCAGCCAGGATGGGGAAGCCATGTAGGCCACCACTAGCGTTCACATCGGCGTGATGTTTGATGAGAAGCTTTACAAGCTTGTCGAACCCGCCGGCAGCGGCTGCAGAGAGTGCACCGCCAAACTTTCCATTCGCTGGCCGGATGTTGACAGCCGCACCATGCTGTAACAGCTCTTTGACGATGTCGAATGAGCCAGCAGCACAAGCCGCCTGTAGAGCCGAACCATACTCGCCGGATATGGGCTCCGTGATGCTAATGTCGGCACCGGCTTTCAGTAAGACTTGGACACTTTCCATATCCTCGGCCCATGCAGCAGCTTGCAGCGGCGTTCCATATGGCCCACCAACAGCGTTGACATCCGCGCCAGCTTGGAGCAATACCTCGCAACATTCCTCATCGCCTTCGGCCCTGTGTAGAAATTAGTCTCTTTGAAGATGATCAGGGCTGCTTGAACTTACGCTGCAGCGTGGAGTGCTGTACCGTACTTGTCGCTTGAAATGTGCACGTCGGCGTTGTGAGAGATGAGGAATCTCAGCCCATCTGCATCGCATGAGTCGGCGCAGTTGATCAAAGCTGTTGTACCTCTAGCGCAGGCTGCATTGATGTCGTGGACGTTCTGCACGAGGAGCTCCAGGTTTTCAGTGAGCAATGTAGATGCTGCCAATGAAATCACTGGCCAATTATCCTCCCCTCCGCGTACGTTGACATTAGCACCATGTTCAAACAGAATCTTGGTTGCAGTGCTGTCGCCTTGCTCCACCGCAGCAACAATGGCATACGAGAAGTGCCCTCCGAATGCGTTCACATCAGCTCCTTCTTCGATAAGAAGGCGAATGGTGTCTTCATCGCCAGTATGAACAGCAGCTTGCAGCTCGGTGCCGTAATAACCAATTGGTTCAGTATTGAGCTTGGCTCCGCGCTCAAGTAGCAGTCGAACGTTGTCGGCATCACCATGCCATGCAGCGGCCTGGATGCATGTGCCGTAATCTCCACCGCGTTTGTTGACGTCCGCGCCTTTATCAAGAAGAGCCTTCATGATGTCTGCTGTACCGTCGTATGCACTGGCGGCTAACGCAAAGCCATACGTAGGCCCTTCCGTATCTGGGTTGGCGCCAAAGTCGAGAAGCAGCTCCACGGTCTCCAGGTGCTCGTTGTCGGTAGCCTGATACAGGGCCTCGTCTAGTTGCGTTTGATCGATTCCCTTTGGATGAAGTAACTTGAGTATTTCCGTTCTACCGTAGAAGGCGGCCAAAGAAAACGCTCTCTGGTACCTGATGATGCACGACGGTACTTTGGATTCTTTTTCCAGAACGGCGTTGACAATAGCATCGTAGCCCCGTTGCGCAGCAGCTTGCAATGCCTGTTCGAGCACGAGAACGCGCTCCTCTTTCTCGAGCAAGATCTCGAAGACTTCTAGATGGTTGTAGGTAGCAGCTGCGTTCAAGAAGCTTCCATAGGTCTTCATCGGTCGGCTCAGGTTCCACGACTGTGATAAGAGGTGACGGACAACATCAGCATGTCCACGACGGGCGGCGGCACCAAGTGCAGACCCGTAGAAGTACTCTTCGTTGGGGTCAATACTAGCGCCTCTCTCGATCAATAGGCGAACAGCTTCAGTATTGCCTGAGAATGCGGCCACATTCAGCGCTCTTCGGCCAGCGCCACCAATGACGTTGACATCGGCGTTGCGGTCGAGCAGAAGCTTCACGACGCGATTTTCGAGGTTGCCCGCAGACGCGTAAAGCGCTGTTCCATGGTCCGACGACGAGGCGTTTACATCGGCCTCGCGGTCGAGTAAAGTGCTGACAACATCGTAGTGGCCGTTCCTTGACGCAGCATGCAGCGCGGTAGGATTGGCGCTGCTGCTCGAAAAGTCAATGTCAGCACCTGCTCCCAGTAGCGCATTGACAATCTCTCCACAGCCACCATCGCATGCGTAATACAGAGGCTGGAAACCCAGTGAGTCTTGTAAGTGGACATCCGCCGTCTCCCTGTGGCTAAGGATGTGGTCGACTAAAGCAGGGAACTCGAGGATTACAGCGACATGGAGTGGCGATACGTCTTTTTGATCTGTCATGTTGTGAACTTCTTCTATGGTCTTCCACCATCTTTGACGAGCGTCCGAGGCTTCTTGCCAGAACGAGTGGTCGAAGTCAATCTCTTCGAGCACATCCGGTGGTGCTCGCTTCGCATGTTCCACCCAGTACCGAACAGGATATCGTAGATCAACGTCTAGCAGACCTTCCTCTTGATTTTCTTCTCCAACCGAGGATGAATCAGCCTCGTCTTCTTCTTCATCTTCATCGTCTTCGTCCTGTTGGTCATGATCGTCCTGTTCGCTTTGTTGGCTGGCGCTATCGTGTACTGACTTGCTGTCGGCTTCGGTCGTATCGGTCGCCTCTTCTGCTTCGACCTCAAGATCCTCCGCTGGCTCTTCTTCCTCTTTTTCTTCCTCTTGATCTTCATTATCGTCCTCTAGCTCGTGTTCTGCGGTGTCTTGATGTTTGACGGCGTCGTATATATACTCCAACGAACGCAACGCGATGATGCCATGCTGAACATCGTCGAGATCCAGAGATAAGTCGTTCTTTGCATACTGTCGGAGATGTTCCTGTGCGGAGATGTCGATCCATTCGACAGTGCTGTTATCCAGATCCCAGTCGTTACCTCTCAAGGTGAAGAATGCACCACAGCGAACTATGTATGCTTTCAGCTTGTCCACATCGTTGCGATGTTGCTGAGGTAGCTCGGCCATGATCGCAAGTTCGCGCATGGTGGGCGCTACATACGCCGAGATTCTGCAACGCAATATCTCTTTCGTGTATTCATGGCCCTCCGCTTGTGGGTTTAGGACGCGCTTTCGCACGTGCTCAAACATGTCGGTCAGACCATACGGAAATGACTCCAACAGTCTTCGGATCTGTGCGTGCTGTGTAGATCCGGGGACCCACGCATTCTTGACTTCTTGTACGACTAGACTAACGTAGATCCAGTTGTCTTCCGCGCGCGAGTAGATGTGGCGCTTCACGAAATATGCCAAAGACCTTGGAAGATCCAGCTCGTCGACGCTGTTTGATATGTGCGCTTTGAGGTCGTCACTAATCTGCGCAGAGTTCTCCGCGTCGCTCAGATTGATCTCCAACGATCGCGGTCTCAAGCATTTCTCGATGTTCGGGCGCCCGCTGCGATTGAGAAGCAGCCATCTAACGGGTTGACACTCCTCTTCATCGTTTGTCGTACCCTCGGTCTCTAGCGTCTCTGACATGTACCGCAAGAATTGTTCCAACGATTCTTCCGCAAGCTGCTCCACACCATACACCACGATGTAGATCTTAGTGTTAGGCAGATCCCGCGCCATCTTATGTAGTGCTATCCATAAAGCAGGCACCTTGAGTATCTCTTCAGTGTCAAAGCTTTGCTTTCCAGCGTCTTTGCTGCTCCGAGAATCTGAAAGCAGGTGTCGGGCAAGATCTTGGTCCATGTCGATCATCTGGCGGACAGCCATTTGCAGCAGACCTTTCAGCGATCGTCGCATCGTGTCGCCCTGGTCGCAAAAGAACGATATGATCATAGAGTTGTTTGCTTGTGCATTTCGGAGAAGTTCAAGAGCAGAAGATGCGATCGCACCTTGGCCCGTACCAGCCTTTCCATGGATCCAAAGGATGGGACTTGCGTTCAAGTTCTTCCAGGTCTGAAAGTTTTCGATTTCCAACACTGATGATGACTTCGTGCCCTTCGCTCCTGTGTAGGTGCCCTTTACGGCGGCTTCTACGTCGGCGAATCCTTTGCCGAGCGCATCCATCATGCTGTGGTAGGTGCGATCATCGACTTGAGATTGTCGAAGCATGTTCTGACGCGTCTTGATGATGCTATCCGCCTTATTGGCTGTCTCACGGATCTCATCAGAGACGGAAGTGAAGTTACCATCCTTTGGCCCAGGGAACTTGTTGAGTTGGAAATGATCCGACATGAGAGAGATGCTGTCGAATGATTCGATTGTTGCCGAAGATTGGTCAACAATGCGCTCTTTGCTTTTGAGCCATGTGATTCCTTTCACGAGATAGTTAACCAAATCGCTATCGTTCTCTTCCCAGAAGCAAAGTAGCCGAAACTGAGCTTCTCGCGCCATATAAGAGAACTCGGAGAGTAGACTGCGCAAGATCTCCGAGTCTTTTTCCAAGACCTTGAGTAGACTAGACGGCGCACCCCAGCCGGCGACTTCAGCCATGGATGCCAGAACCATTGCCTTGGACTGGCTTGACGTGCCGTGAAAAGGTGTACCGAGGAAGAAGCATCCAGCGATCCAAGGATACACGTTGGGAAAGTCTGTTTGGCGCGATCTTGACATGAGCAGGGCCTTCTCGAGAATGATGCCCCCAAGACAATGCGAGATGAAGATGATGGGCGTTTTGGTTTGGTTCTCCAATACGTTGTTAGCATGTAGTCATCACGAGTACGTACTAACTCACCACTCGTGACCTATCGAGGCTATGTAGTAGTTTGTTCGCGACATTATCGATGCGTTCGTCGACTGATCCTTTTCCGAACCACTGCGACTGATACTGGAAAACGCTAATCTTGGCATGTGGAATCTTCTTCGGGAGCATATTGGCATCGCGAAGCCAATGCACTTTGCTCTTCTTCCATGTATATTCGGGGTCCGCTCCCAAGCCTGGAATGGCGATGATCCTCGAAGTTATTAGCTTTTGATTCTCGCGTTGGACTTCCAGCCACCTACTCGATTTTGGCCGAGAACTTTGACGTTGTCTGCTCATCACTAGGGTAGACAACGTTCAGTCCGGGGTTGAAAGACTGTGCTTGTAAACATGTAGAAAACCGAGTGTGAGCAGAACACTAACCTGTGCATCGAACTTCGAATGCTGGACCTTGGTGGCCGAAGCCATCGCGAATCGTGGTGCTGTAGCAAACCCGCGCTGCAAACTGGCAACTAAAGGCTACAGCGTAATGTTAAAACCATCTTGTGAGGTATGCGCTCTAAGTTTGGAGAGCGCCGCGTTTTCGCTGATGGCTTCACCCACCCCCTGCATGTGGATTTCTTTGGAGACTTTGGGGGCCGCTTATGTTGGGGGCCAAGTTACCGAAAAGGGTAAGACGCATGAGATGGCGCACAGCCGCTTGATCACAACTGTATTGATTGCCGAGTATTGATCGTCTGGCGCTGTTCGCGATGGCGCGGGACCGGGGTAGAGGCTCGCCAGTACGCTGGGCGACGAGCTCCGGCCCTCTCTTGCTGTCGCATTCCCCTCCGGCGAGAACCGTGTTGTTTGTACAATGATTGACTGCTGCGAGGTCAGTAGCAGCCCTGTGAGCATATGATAACATGCTAATGACATGTAGCAAACAATGAAATACCCAGTGCCGTTCCGCACGGCTCTGCTAAAGACGGAGAGCCCGGATGGTAGTTCAGGGCCGGAGGTACCGTTGCTGCCAGCAACATACCGGAGAAATTACAAGATCGAGCCAGTCCGCAACAACATCGGCGCGTTCTTGGATATCGAGCTGAATGTCCGCCGACTGAACGAAGTCCACAAGTGGCTATGGCTTGTGGGCCTTCCAAGCGCGCCGCGACCTCTTCATTACCAAGTGGTCAAGAAACGGGAAATTGTGGTGACGGAACAGCTGGATCTGCATCTTGTTTGGTCGTCAGCGTCTTCGTCGTCGATTCTCCTCAAACCGCTGCCTCGCTTCCTTCTCTGCCCAAACTTCTGGGTCACGGAGATTTGCCCACGTCGGCACCTGTACGAGACGGCACTGGGCTTCATGCTGTCGTACGTCGCGCTCGTCGAAAGGGAGGTTGACTACAATCTAGCCATCAACCACGGCCTCATTCCTAAAGAAGTCACTTGGTCTGGGTGGCTGGCGCTCGTTGGCGAGGTCGTCTGCACCTCGGTACAGACGCATACCATCGATGCGTCGGCTGCATCGTCTGTAAGCTTGCTGGAAGACCGCCCACGCGTCAACCAACGCTTCAACTATGGCGAATTGAGACTTGGGCGGCTGAACTGGATATATCGCTTGACCATGGGCGAGTTGCGCGGGTACCTAAGCGGCTGCAGCACGTATGGAGCCTTTATGCGTGACAACGTTAACAGTCTCATTACGCTATTCGCATACACTACCATCGTGCTCTCCGCGATGCAGGTTGGGCTTTCGACAGAGCCTCTCGCAAACGACTACTCGTTCGGCATGGCGTCGTACGTCTTCTCCCTCTTTTCCATCCTGGCTCCACTCGCATGCATTGTCGCTATTCTTGGCGTTATAGCCTTTATGTTTGTCGTGAATTTGGCGCGCACGCTGAGGATTCGAGGGCAGAAGCGGCGTCAAGGTGTGAAGGTGTGAAAGCTCGACGCGACACGCGCCTGGCTGCTGGCAACGATGACGCGCTGCGGGCCGACAGCCAGGGAAGCGACAGCCCAAACATCCCCACCAAACCTCACCAGTCCCCCGGGGCCATCAACACCCACCAACCCCACCAAAGATAATTGATGAAACCCTAGGTCGCGATAGCTCTTCGCCGTCTATAGTAGCTAGGCATCCATGCCAGGCACCGACTGCTTGCATCAGTGGCCAGATACGGGCCCACAGACGACGCAACGTATCGCGATCATGCCCGAGGTCATCCACGCCTCACGGACATCAGTAGCGGGATTTCGCATCGTGCACGAGCAGAAAGATGAGAACAAAGTGCCAGTAATCCAGCGAAGAAGACTCGTATCAATAGGCTGTGTGCATATCTCTCTGCCCGTGTTGCAAGGGTGGCTAGAATCTGTGTCGTGTTTGCTGCATACACATCATTATATATTAAGAAGTAGCTAGCTCCTAATACGATGTATACTTCTACCTTGAAAGATATATTCAACATTTTCTAATGCTTTTGTAGACTGCAACAGGAGGTATAGCTATCGCAGCACACGGTCTTGCCTAGGTACCGACGGGCTAGAATAGACGCAGTAGTAGCGGTACCTAGGTACAGTATTACACAGCATCGTCTGTGACATCAAACGCGGTTATGATAGAATTCTGGTCGTCCCCGACGCACACGTTCTATTCGTACTTCAATCCAAGCCCATATTTGCATCGCCTGCCAGTTCAGACTCGCAGCGAATCCCTCCCTAACAGCTCCAAAGCTTCATGTCGATTGTTAGTTCCGCTAAGCCTGCTGAGCTCCAAAGAGCGAAGGAAGGAGTTTGTGTGTCAAGGCTCGGTGTAAGCACCTGCCGAGGAAGCTTTTATCCCGACACTTGACCTATTCCGACTCCTAGCGCTGACACTACGCCCTACATGACCGACACGGCCAGCAATCTCGAATGTCCATCTCTAACCTCATATTTTTCGACGAAATCGCCTCAAGGCACGACATCATGAGCGACGAACCTGTAGAACTCACCAACCTTGGAGCGTCCAAGGTTGACACCCCACCAGAGGATGCTACACCACGCGTTCAATACCCGCGTGGTATCCGCTTGGCTTTGATAACTGTCGGCCTCGCTCTCTCCATCTTTCTCGCTGCTTTGGATTCAACAATCATCGCTACCGCAATCCCGAGCATCACCACGCAATTCCGTAGCATCAGCAGCCTGGCCTGGTATGGCTCGTCCTACGCAATTACCAACACCGCATTTCAATCTGCGTGGGGCAAAGCCTACCAGTACTTCAGCCTCAAAGCCACCTTCATGTCTGCAATTGCAGTGTTTGAGATCGGTAATGTAATATGCGCAACTGCACCAACAAGCGAGGTTTTGATCTTCGGGAGGATCGTGTCTGGCATGGGCGGTGGCGGAGTGATGACGGGTGCGTTCATCATCGTCGCAATGACAGCTGGACCGCAATACAGGGCCGCCTATATGGGCGTGTTTGGCGTGACTTTTGGATCTGCAAGCGTCGTGGGACCATTGTTGGGTGGCGTTCTGACAGACGGCCCTGGATGGCGATATTGCTTTTGGTACGTGAACCCCGATCTGTGTTTTGGCTGCTTTACCGTCTACAACACACTCTCCACCAAATGTTTTGCGCGTGGATGGAAACCACGCAGGCATTATAAAGTCAAGGTCGGTGTGCTGACACTACACAGGATCAGCCTACCGATTGGTTTCGCTGCTGCGCTCACGATGTTCCTCTGTTTCCATGACCCTGGCAAGCCCAAGGATGTACCTCTCCGCGAGAAGCTCCTGAATTTGGACCTTAACGGCGCCATCTTGCTATCCGGATGCTTCTCTTGCTTCATCCTAGCCACGCACTGGATCGGCATCATGCCTCCGACTAGTGCTCGTATCATTGGCAGCTTTATCGGTTTCGTGGGCCTTTTCATCTGCTTCGCGATCAACGAACGCTACATGGGGAGCTGCGCGATGGTACAAGCTCGCGTGTTCAAGAACAAACTGGTCTTCGCCAATCTGCTATATGCATCCTTCATTGCGGGCGCCTTCTTTCCGCTCATGTATACACTGCCAATCCAGTTCCAATCTGTCAACAACAACACGGCTTCGCAGAGTGGACTCCGACTTATTCCACTCGTCATGGGCGTCTCACTCTTCACTATGATATCTAACGGAACCCTCACCTTCTGGCGCCACTATAAGCCCTTCTTCTTTGTCGGCGCAATCTTGGCCGTAGCTGGAAACATAAAGATACACTCCTTGGATGCCAGCACACCAACTAGAGACTGGGTCGGCTTCGAGCTTTTGACAGCCACGGGAGTCGGCCTCGCTCTTCAGATCCCGATGATTGCCAATCAGGCTCTCGTTTCTGCAGACGACCTAGCCGCTGTAACATCGATGTCGCTCTTCATGGAAAATACTGGTACTGTATTCTCCGTAGCATCGAGTGAAGCGGCATTCACGAACGGACTGCTTTCAAGCCTCGCCCGCAACCTGCCCGAACTGGACGCGAAGGAGATAATGGATGCTGGCGCGACGCAGATCCGCGGGCTGTTCTCAGGTCATGAGCTTGATCAGGTATTGAGAGGGTATCTGGATGGCTGTAAGACCAGCCATGTCATTCCCGTAACCTGTGGCGCAGTCTGTGCGGCAATCAGTTTGTCCAACGCTGTGCCGGCGACCTTACAAGGGATAAAGAAGCGGCTTGGGAAAAGCCATGATCGATGATTACTGAGATGATATGGAAAAGGAAGCTTCAACACATTGACGATGTTTCAACAGGAAGACCAGGACTCAACGGTCCGGAGTTAGTGGAGCTCAAAGCCCGCGCCGCGATACGACGTGTTGTCACGCCTCACACGGTCTCTTGACAGAGCCCAGCGTGGAAAACAGAAACCGGCAGTTGCACCGTGCTGATGTGCTGCAGTGCATTGATCGTCCCTGGCCGGCTGCCGGTGCAATAGCGGCGGGACGCGTTCCGCTCAAACTATATTAATGATATGCAACGATAGCCTATCGGTACATCAGGCGCTCAAAGAGTTTCGCGTTGTTGCTCGATGACTTTCACGTTGTTCGCGAGTCGTGAAGTAATCCACGTCGGATGAGATGTGCGCGTGGATGAAGCACGCGTGACGTAGCATAAGCTGCTAACGGAATCGGGCATAGCGTTCCCATCACGAGCCATCTACGCCCGTGCGCAGCGGCGACTCAGCCATCGCCGCGCTTATCATAACAGTCCCGTCTCTCTCGCCCTGTTGTCTCTTCTGCAATGTCCACAAATCATGCCATCAAACTCGACTCTTAATCATCGGAGCAGGCCCTCTACCATTCTCTTCGCCTTTGGCGTCTTCGCGCAGGTCGCGTTGCTTGCCTGCATCTTCTGGACTTACACTAGCTATGGCAACCCCCGTGAGCCGACCGCCTTAGCGGAAACCACAACTAAGACATCATCAAGACCAAGCGGCTTCACTCTGCGCCACCTTTTGGATCACGGCGCTGGACAACCTGGGCCACGAGCACGAAGATTCGATGTGACTCCAGAGCGGTTTGCCGTTGCTGGTATCGACTCCCGCATCGGGCCCTTCACTATCAAGTCGGCACCAGTCAAGATAGAAAGGCCCGCGTTACGTGGCTACGATGCACAGATCCCCATGTCGCCCATGTGGATCGCCGAGGATATTCCGGGTCCGGATGTCACGGACAAGAACACCGTTATCAGTTTCGCAAACATGTCCGAAGATGCTTACAAAATCGGCCCTGACGACGCAGGATGGATGGACGTCGATGGGCATTACAACTCGTCGGTCCCTTTTGGCTGGGATGACAGTGGCATCCGAGGCCATGTGTTCAGCGACGACACTAACTCCACCATCATTCTGGCGGTAAAGGGAACGACGGTAGCCATGTTCGAAGGCGACGGAACGTCCGTGCACGACAAAGAGAACGACAACCTGTACGGCTCTTGCTGTTGCGGCCAGGGCGGCACATATCTTTGGCGCAAGGTATGCGACTGCCAGACTGGCACCTACAGCTGCGACGAGCAATGCGTCAAGAACGAGTTACGGAAGCCGAACAGGTACTATGCCGCAACTGTCGAGCTGTATCAGGAGGTTGTCAAAATCTATCCGGATGCACACATCATGACGACAGGGCACAGTCTAGGAGGCGTCCTCGCTTCTCTGATCGGCCTGCAGCACGGTATCCCCGCGGTGACGTTTGAAGCATACCCACAAGCCTTAGCAGCTAAGCGCTTAGGACTACCAGCTGCTGGTGACGTTGCTCCACTCAGGAAGAATACAGGTGGCTTCCATTTCGGGCACACCGCTGACCCCGTGTACATGGGAACTTGCAACGGTGCGACGAGTTTCTGCTCTATTGGCGGATACGCCTTTGAGACCCTTTGCCATACCGGAAAGAAGTGCGCATACGACGTGGTCAAAGACTGGGGTTGGAGGCAGAACACACAGACACACAGCCTTAGATACGCCATTGACAACGTGTACATGAAGTACGACGAGGCAGCAAAATGCCAAGAAGAGGATGTTGGTTGTGTCGATTGCTACCTATGGAAGTTCGAGAACGGGACGAAAACCACGACAACGAGTACTTCTACAACACCAACAAGTACCACATCATCGAGGACGCGGACGGAGACATGTAAGACGCCTGGGTGGTGGGGATGTCGTGATGAGACTACTACGATGGTATCAACTACATCGTCCAGCGTATCAAGTACTGCAACTAGCACAAGTACAAGTACCTGTCAAACAGTGAGTTCCAGAACCTCAAAACAGTGCGAACATGACTAACTCCTTGAAGCCCGGATGGTTCGGCTGCAAAGACAAGACGACAGCTACCGGTCCTATTACGTCTGCTACGACCACTACTACATCAGCTGCACCGACAACTACTTGCACCTCGAAGGGCTGGTTTGGCAGGTGTTACGATGACGTTCCAGCGACAACCACTCCAGCCATGCAAGCTCATGCCTACTGGCGGAATGCGGCGACTGCGACACAGACGGCGCCTTAGACTTTCAGAATCTTGCATATGCTATATGGGTATCTTTCAGTAGCATGATATACCCATTTAGAATTACCAATCAATCGTCTTCGTTGCTTCTTATCATCACGCGAAGAAATGTTGCTGCATGATTCCGCCATCTGGTGGTGGCGCGAAGGATCAGTTACGTTTAGGCTAAACCCGATTTACTTGAGCCATTCCTCGCATCTCTAGGCAGCCATCAACGAGTGTGTTAAAAACAAAACGCATGCAGCACAAATTGGCCATCAAACAAGCTCTCTCTGCTGTGAACACAATGCTTGACTTTGACTTCCACCTCACAACACCTCGTCTCTTCATATCCCACCTTAACCCTGAGGACGATGCTCATTGCGATTTCGCATACGAGCTAGTGTTTAGCCCAGGTCCCGCTGAGCAGAAGCCCGCAGTCGATGCGGAAAAGACAGAGATCACACCCCCTCGCGATGTTGGGAAGAACTTCATCGCGAAGGATATTGAGAGGATGGAGCAAACAGGCTATGGTCGCTACCTGGTCTCGCTCAGACAAAACTCAGCTTTGAACATCAATTCACCGCACGAAGACGAAAACGTCCCTTTCTCGAAGAGACGACTAACGCCAATCGGCATCGTGTCAATGCAACTCGCGCGCTTCCCGTCCGAACCGTCCGCACCAACGATCCCAGATGTCGGGTTCACTTTCCGCCCCCGGTACCTTGGAAACGGGTACGCTACTGAAGCTGCAGCGGGCTTGATGGAGTACTACACAGACGAGAAAGGACTCAAGGAGTTTTGCGGTTTTTGCAAACCGGAGAATACAGCAAGCGCAAATGTTCTGAAGAGGTTGGGGTTCGAGGAGAGGGGTCTAAGGGAGGTAGATGGTGTTGTTGACGGGGAGATATTGAGCGCGTTGGTCTGGACAATTGGCGTTGGGCATGAGAAGGGCGCGCTTGAGAAGCGAGGCTTGCAACGCGTTGAGAAGCGTTCATGGAAGTGGTGGCGTTGAAGCTATTGGGCAGGTGTATACATGACATGTCCCTTCGCTAGACGATTAGCTCAGAAGACACTACTATACAGCATGCCCAACACAATCGCGATCATGCGCAGGTGTAGAAGAATTGTCCGATGAACGCGGTGCCGGACAGATGATCGGAAAGAGTCCGCGCGATGACGTCTGTGCTTCGGCCCAAGTCTTAGCGCAGTACAAGCCCGTCTTCAGCCGAAGCTCGCATCCGTCCGACGCTTCAGCTTCGTCGGATGTTCCGTCGAGTGTTTCCTTTCACCTCAGGGTGCAGCCGCGCGCTCTGGTAGCCGATTGCTAACTATTCGCACTTAGCTGACGCGACATTATTCCACGAGATGTCAACACCGGATGCACTGGCAACGACGCGTCCGGAGAAACGGCGCAGACTTGAGCGCGTCGCAGCGGCCTGCGATCTGTGCAAGAAAAGAAAGGTAAAGTGCGACGGTGAGCAACCATGCGCCTATTGCACTCGGAAGGATCGTGCGGCTACTTGCACGTTCAGCGGCCCTCATGCACGCCCACAAGCGCATTCTGCCGGCCACACTCCCCTTCACGGTGTTCGTTCCGACGATATCCACCGTCATCACCCCCGTTCAACTGGCCATACACCTCATAATCGCGATCGAGATGAACAGGACGATGCTGTGCGACAAAGACTTGATCGCGAAGCTGCCGAGGATGGAACATCACTCTCACCAACATTGAGCAGAGATGATCAACAAGGCGATACAGTGGTGCCTCTTGAGGGTCGCATCCTCCGTGACGCCCAGGGAAAGTCTATATTCATTGGCGACTGCGCCCCGCTATCTTTTCTGCAGACAGTCAGGCATCTCATCACATCCGAGGTGGACCCAAGAGCTACTGTTCAAGCTACACGCGACCCCATCATTGAGATCGCTCGGCCTGATTCAGCGGATCAACATTCATGTCCTCCTATTGATGTGCATCAGGTCGACGCACTAGTCAACGAGTTCATGGCTGCAAGTAGTGGCCTCGTTCAGCTCTTCCAACGAGAGGATCTTGCTCCCGAACTGAAAGCATGGGCAGGCAGCAGGAATTCGAGTTCAGACGATGCTGCAGCTGCCGTCTTCTATCTGGTCCTTGCGATCGGCGCCCAAGAGCGATTAGAGGAAAAGGCAGAAGCCTGGTTCAATACTGCTCGGGATGTGCTTTTGAAGCATATGTGCAGCAGCATGAACGTCTCTACTGTTCAAGGCTTTGCCCTCGTAGCCATCTACATGCTCCGAGCGTCTCAGCCGAATGGAGCCTACTTATACTTCTGTATGCGAAATGAGAAAGAACTGGCAGTACATAATACGCTAACTTGTTTCAGCCCTGGCTGCGCGTGCCGCATATGCAATCGGCATACACCGAACGGAAGTGAACGCATCCTTTGGCGAAACCATCAAGCTGGTGCGAGACCGGATTTGGAAGAGCATTCGCGTCACCGACCAGTTGATAAGGTAAGATACAACTACAGATGTCCTCAACCAAAGTCTCACACGTTGCGGAGTCTGCACAGCTTCACTCTGGTAGTATATGCTGATCCTCTGCTTCCCCATGTAGCAACGCATTAGGCCGACCTCCGTCCACATCAGATGTCGATTGCACCGTCAAATACAACACTTTTGAAGACAACACCGAAACCGATGATGCCAATATACTGGATGCCAGCGTCCAGATCTTCATGATTATTGAGCGTGTCGTCGTTGAAGTGTACTCTCGCAAACGCATATCATTACGCATTGCAGACTATGTTTCGCGACAGTTGAAGAGCTGGGCGTCCAAATGGCTGCAGAAATTATCTCATCTTACGACCAGACCTCATTCTCGAGAAGCCGTAGTGGGTGCTTGCTCCACACTCTGCTCCTATTACTACGGCATCATGCTACTTACCCGACCTTTCCTCATCTACGAGTTATATGAGTACATGGGCGCTCCTCTAAAGAGCGGAGGCTCACAAGCTGATCACCAAGAGAAGCGCAAGTACGCAGATGCTGCACTTGATGCCGCGTCGACGTTAGTGGATACTCTGCTAGTCGTGACGATTACAAAGCAGTTGCCTCGTAAGATGCCACTGATAGTGTAAGTAAAGCTATCTTGCCCTATTGAGTAGGCTAACAGGTATCAGATCCTGGCTCTTTACGGCTACACTTGTTCTTGCTGTCGGCATTCTTGGGGACTCGGGACTTATGTTAGTGGACAGCTGCAAAGATGCAATCACTTGCATGGACTACTTTGGTCAAGTCGACCCTCATGCCCGGCAATACTCACAGGTCGCGCAATCGCTGCTCAAGATTACCACTGCACATGCCAAGAAGAGAGAGCTGCATCTGCGCCGTAAAAGGAAGCAAGCATCGTCGGAATTGTTTGGCCTATTGCCTGGAGAGTCAACTAACATCGCGGCCCAAGTGGATGAATGCGACGCACAGCTCGGCCACGGGTCGCTGGTCTCCCGAGACTCCGTTCAGCGCCACGTGTCTTCCGCAGCGCCACTCGATTGGACTATATACGATGCCGACTTCTTTGCCATGCCATGGCCGAGTGAGAACGATCAGGGTCTCCAGGATTTCTTGCAGCCGGGCACTCACAACCTTGATGGCGTATCCGTGGCTGACATACCGCTTTTTCCCATCCACGACCAGCAGATGGGCGGTAACTTCTTCCCGTAAGTTCGAGATGGATGGGATGGCGTCACGAGTGGGTTTCTTCTTCAAATTCTCTCCCAAGACACTTCAATGCACGACTTTTGTTTCACTAGTCTCGTCTCTCGATGTTCTCAGAAACGGTATCAGCTTGGTGCCTCCAGTTCCGACCAACTCTTGCGTCTTCGGCTTTTCGGCCGCCAACTCCGTCGAGGCGGAAGCTATATCTCGTCTCTTGGGACCGGTAGTGGGTTTTCCCATTCGGCTCGGTATGATGATGTACCTGGTCACCAAGGCGATGTGTTTGTCGCGGAAGCCGCTGAGCGCCGCGACGGCTTCGTTGAATGCGGTCAGAAGCTCAGTGTTGTCTGCATGACTATCGACGTAGCTTCGAATATTTGCGATTGCTTGGACATCGTCAAGAAAGCGGGCATGGGGCCCGGGCATGTACCCACGCATCTCTGCGTGAAAGCCGCCGCTTCTCGAATGGTCGACAGAGAGAACCGCATCGAAGAATTGTAGCAGCGAAGACTGGCCGTTGGAACCACCACGATAAGCGCGCCATGTGCCTTTTCCGTTACCTTCGTCGTAGAAAACGCCGTTTGGTAGACCGGCACTCGCCATGTTCATGCTCCCAGCCAGGAAAGGTCGGATGGTGTGGTAGAACATCTGCGGGTCACACCGCTCATCCATGCGTTCCAAGAGCTGGCCAATGCGCTGCATTCCCTGTCGGAAGTATTGCAGGGCGTGTATGATCGTTGTGGCATCATCAGTCTCGACAGCTTCAATAGCACCAAGCATGGCCTCGATCAACGGGCCTGCTCTTGCTTCCATGGCATTCGAAATAATGAAGAACCACGACTCATCATCGGTTCCCGTCGCTGTGTGTAGTGCAACCATGTTCTCCGGTTGCGTCAAGTCGGCGTCTTCGTTGAGTGGTGTCCAGTTCCATAAGTTCAGAGCTGCATATGTGGCCACTGGATGCACCTCAAGATAGTCGGCAGTCTGAAGGAACGACACAGTGATCGCTGGGGGTAGTCGCTAGCTTCCTTGTTAGTGACTGGAGACTTTAAGGTACTGCGATTTCATGCTGACATACCTCTGATGGCTCGGGACCTGCCCATATGTAGCCCTGGGCTATGACAGCGAGCATCGAGTGTGCTCTCTGCCATTCTGCCTCACTGGAGAGATGCGACGTATCGAGAACGGGCAATTCGTCAACCCATTGCCGTATTTGTTGTGTCTCTATGAGGGTTGGAAGTTGCTCAACGATCTTCTCCCATGGTTGATAGTAGGTATGCGGTAAGCGTCTTAGTGGTGGCTCGGCAGGTAAGAACCCGTTCTTTGAGATGCCGTAATTAGGGAGTGCATCGGGTGATGGGAGGACGGGAATCTTGTGAGGACTCATTGCGGCGGAAAAGGTAGCGACGGTAAGGTTGCACAGTAATATCGGAAGGGTACGTCCTTCCTTGTAGCGGCGAACTCCTGCTTTATTGCGCTGAAGAGCGAGGTCCACACTCAACCCACGGTCGCGTTCCGATAGTCTTCCGAGCTCGGAATGACGGAAGCGTTGTCGGATGAGAGTCCGATACCCCAATGAAGAAGGTGCAAGCTTAGTTTGATGCAAGCCTCAAGCCTCTTGCTTGGAGACGTAATGGCCAGATCGTGATGCATATATAGTCTGACGCCGTCTTCTCAGTATCATTATCACATTCATACATCACATTGCATCTCGTTGGTTCCCCAAGACATACCCTAACCGACAGCACATCATTATCACCATGGACGCACCTGCCGCAATCCAACAGCTTCGCCAAGGGCAAAAGCCACAGTGGCCAACAAACGCCGAATCAGCGGACTTTGCGCATTCCCTCGATCAAAGTGCAGACATTCCCAAGACGTTCCGACCCGAGTTTGTTGTTCCCAGCAAAGCGCAGCTAAAGCGGAAAACCCTGAACGATGACGCACAAACCGCCAACCCTGCATCAACACCAGACGACGAGGCCATCTACTTCTGCGGTAACTCTTTGGGACTGCAACCGAAAGCTGTTGGCGAACACTTGAACGCGTACCTTAAGACATGGGGATCAATCGCTGTTGGCGGTCATTTCACCGCCCTCGAGGACTCGCCGCTCACACCCTACCAGGACATGGCTGCTGGGTGCTCGAAGAAGATGGCTGACATCGTCGGCGCATCCCCTTCAGAAATCGTTGCCATGAACACATTGACCATCAACCTGCATCTGATGATGGCTGCATTCTACAAGCCAACAGAGAAGAAGCACAAGATTATGTGCGAGTGGCGGCCTTTCCCCAGCGACTGGTATGCGATCGAGTCGCAAATAGAATGGCACGGTCTCGACCCCAAGAAGTCTATGCTACTGGTCGAGCCGGACGACGGATACATCATGACCACCAAGAACATCCTCAAGCTCATTGACGAGAATGTCGATGAGCTGGCTCTCATCATGCTGCCCGGTATCCAGTACTACAGCGGCCAATTACTCGACATCCCCACCATCACCGCACACGCACGCAAGCACAACATCACCATCGGATGGGATCTAGCGCACGCCGCAGGCAACGCCGAGCTGAAGCTACACGACTGGGATGTCGACTTCGCATGCTGGTGCACGTACAAGTACATGAATGCCGGTGCCGGTTCCATCGCCGGTGCTTTCATCCACGAGAAGCATGGCAACAACGACCACTACAAGGGACTGAAGGGCTGGTACGGCCACGACAAGTCATCGCGCTTCCTTATGGACAACAAGTTCGTTCCTACACCCGGCGCGCAAGGCTTCCAATGCTCTAATCCATCGATCGTCGACCTTACATGCTTAGCCGGCTCGCTAAGTGTCTTCGAGAAGACATCCATGGCCGACCTACGATCACGATCTCTGCTCCTCACTGCATACGCTGAGCACCTGCTTTCCCAGATAGCTGCGCGCAACATCAAGGATGGCAAATTCCCCTTCGAGATCATCACACCCACAGACCCTCGCTTCCGCGGCGCTCAACTGAGTGTGCTGCTGCCAGAGGATGTTTTCGATGATGCGAGCGCGGCGCTAGTGGAGAATGGTGTTGTTTGCGACAAGAGGAAACCAGGCATCATTCGTGTCGCACCAGTACCAATGTACAACACTTTCAGTGATGTTTGGCGGTTTATGCAGATCTTTGAGGAGGCGATACGGGAAAAGGGTCAAGGGCAGGCTCAGGAGCAGCAATTGCAAGGGACGGCGGTTGAGGCGAGGTTGTAGAACAGTAATGACTTGTTAGATGTTCCTTTAGCAGCGTGAGACGTTAATTTACATAATCACTGTATTCATGCTCCATTGCCATTGAACTATCCACGTGCCATCTATAAACCAATTTGCTGAATACTCGAAGTTGGTATCTGTAACATCAAAATGCGTTCAGAACTGGTCTGAGATCTTCCCCAAAGTGACCGCAAGTGTCTCTCGGTATTCATCACCAAAGGATTTTCCACTCATCCTCTGGGCTTTGCGTTGGTAGTCTTCTGGCGAGGTACTTTGGGGTGTGTGCATTGGTAGGCTGGTAAGTCGACAACGGTGGTTTCAAAGTTTGCCACGATTCGTCGGAACGGTCATCGCCATACTCAACCACGGTAGCCAAGACTTTTTATCCGTCTCTCACTTGCGCGTTACCCTCACTCACTTCTACCTCGTACTTGGACCGTAGCGGAGTAGAGTCGCGCTAGCGGTAAGACTACCTAGGCACATAATTCAACACTGCCACCCAGTTTCTCTCCACACTCACCATCACGACCACGACCACAGTCGAAAATGGCGGCTGCTGCTCAGCAACACGCTCTAGCCTCACTCAAAGGGTAAGCTTGATTGTGCCAGCTTCTTGTTCTCCCAAATTATCATCGCAGTGACACTGACCACATTACAGCTTACTCGAATCCGGCGCATACTCCGATCTTACCATTAGCTGCAACGGCGATGCCTACAAAGTCCACAAGAACATCGTTTGTGACAAGGTCGACTTCTTCACACGGGCCCTCCGGTTTGGCGGGAAAGTGAGTTGCCTCACGATGACGACGATTGTGCACCATGGACTGACCGCCAGCGAAGGAATCTCAGAATGATGCTATCGATCTCCCGGAAGACGACCCCGCCATTGTTAGGCGCTTGATCCAGTACCTATACGAAGCCGAATATACGCCGCTGCTATCTGATGTAGCCTCTACGGGATCTGCTCGGTTCACGAACAAGACAGATCGCCCCAAATTTCACGCGAACGGAGATGCATTTCATTATCGCTTTCCCCATACATGCTCGGTCTTTCCGCTCTATGGAACATGCAATGATCCCATGGTTTGTCCACATCACAGGTGCCATTACAACGAAGCCGGTTATTTTCTGGGAGCCGGAACTGGGTGCTGTGCCCATTTCACCTGCGACAAATGCGAGGTGGACACAGCAGTACTTCCTTCGTTAAACGGCAGAGAATACCAACTTCTTCTCCACGTCAAGATGTACGAGATTGCAGACAAGTATGAGGTGAGAGGTCTCAAGGATCTGGCTCGTGAGAAGTTCCAGAGGTCCTGCAAGCAATTCTGGGATAGTGACGTCTTCGCGGTGGCAGCGCATCACGTCTTCTCCTCAACGCCCGACTCCGACAAGGGCTTACGCGATCTAGTCAGCTTGACAATTAGCAAACACATGTGCTTGATGGATAAGCCGGAGATCGAGGCTCTACTCACTGAGTTCAACGGGTTGGCGTTCGGTCTCCTCAAGTTGACAAGGAAGAGGGGTTGAGTGATTGGCGTGAGCTCAATCATGAGAGACTTCGAGAGTGAATATGAATGCACAAATGTGGTAGGACAAGAATCTACGAGAAGCAGAAGCATCATGGAGAAACGGTCGAATCAGAAATGGGCATTCGAACCAATTTGGAAACATGCGCAAAAGCTCTTGAGTACGGGATGAGATCATCATCAGGTCAAATAACAGCCATTTCATCTACTTCCTCTGCTTCGTGCGGTGCCATTTGTCATGTCCTTCTCATATACCGCTGATGCTGACTGATCAGTTCAGTGATACGTATATGCATATGCATATGCTTAATGAGACTGTCGACATCGGTTCACATTCACTTCAAGATAGAAAAAAGACTCGGAGGAAAGTCGCGCCGATTACGAAGTTGCTGAGAAAACTCACCCTCTACCTCTGTGGACTCCTCTCTCACCCAACAGTACAATCGTGTTCAACGCAAAAGATGGCAGAAGCTTCGCAAAAGCAGTTGATCACAACTCTCAAGAAGTAAGTGACCTTACACAAAAAGATCCACACACAAACTGACAGTCCTCAGTCTGCTCGTCACAGGCGCTTCGTCCGACTTCACTGTCACCTGCGGTCCTGATACCTACAAAGTCCACAAGAACATTGTGTGTTCTCGTGCGGAGTTCTTCGCTCGTGCTCTGCGATTCGGTGGGAAGGTACGTTTCTAACTTCTCCAGTGACGACGAGGTTCGATCGTGAAACGGCCTGCTTGTTAACACAATTGTAGGAAGCAATTGAGAACACTGTTGATCTTCCCGAGGAAGAACCCGCCATCATCAAGCTGCTGTTCCAATGGATCTACGAGGGCGATTATGAACCAACTGCAGATCAGGCACCTGCAGATCAGGAGCCAGTCTGGCCTTCGACCGAGTGTGAAGCAAAGTTTCCACATAGATGTTGCAATGGCTGGGGTTCATGCCAAACCACGGTCTGCACTCACCACACCTGCGGAACTGACTGCGATCGCGACTGCAATTCCTTCACTTGCCGCTCCTGCGAACCTGGCGCAGAAGCCAGCGAAGAAGAGAAGGAGCTTCTCATCCACGCCCAAATGTACGAAATTGCCGATAAGTACGATATCCCCGGCCTCAAAGACCTCGTCAAGGTAAAGTTTCGTCTCGCTTGTAAGCTGTCGTGGAACACTCTCGCCTTCGGCAACGCAGCTCACTATGCCTTCTCTACCACTCCTGATCACGACAAGGGCCTGCGGGACATCGTCACCGACACTATCGCTGCGCATATGAAGGCACTCTTGAAACTGCCGGAGATTGGGGCTTTGTTAATCGAGTTCAATGGTCTAGCCTATGATCTGCTCAAGACTCGGGTGTATCCGGAACTTCAGCAGCATGAGGCAAGGTGGTAGAATAGTAGAATGGACGCCGGGTTTGTTCTGTGAGAGCAAGGAAGATACGAAAGTATAATCTGGACCCCGTATGGAAAAGATGATGACAGCCGAAAAGGTTTGGCTATTGGGTGTCTGGAAGATAATCAAATGGGAACAGTCTGATACTAGACTCCGCGCTGTTGTTTTGCTGTGATGTCAATGATTTACTAAAGCAAATGCTAGTGAGATGGACGTGCAGTTGAGATCAAAGCACAGTAAAAACATAATGTGTACTAAGACGCTTTGTTATGCAACGTGGCTCAAGAGTATACCTCTACCAAATCTACCGCATAGTCCTCATCCCATGCACATGTATCGTTCCATCATCCCGCTGAAGCACATTCATTCCTCATCGCTCCGTCTACTGCAACCTCACCTCCCCCTCCCCCGTCTTAATCCCAAACTTACTCAACCGAATCCTCGGCACAACCCCCACAAGCACCAACACACTAGCAACAATAACAGCCCAATGCTGCACATGCGCCAAGTTCAAATTATACGTCGTCCACGTCGCCGCGCAAATCGTCGCAAGCCCCAGCACCGCAATAACATACCCAGCCATGCGATGATACTTATAAATACTCTTCGCGTTCTCCACGCTACCATAAAGCTGCGGCACATAATACTGCGTGAACCCCACAATCGCCTGGATGTACACAAGGATATAAAAGGTGAGGCCCAGGCGCGCGTGCGCGGATTCAAAGTGTTCGTGGCCGGGGCCGGCTTTGTTCATTTCGATGACGATGAGGCCGGCGGTGAGGGCGGAGGCGCCGAGCGCGTGGAAGAGGAAGTGGGCGAGGGTGCCGGAGCGCTTTTGTTCGGGGGTGTGGGTCGGTTGGAGGACGAGGGCTGCTTGGATGGCTAGGAGGAAGCCGGCCTAGGGGGTATCAATGATACGGTTGGCGAGAGGGGGTGATTAGGGTGGTGTTGTGGCTTACGGAGTTGAGGAGCTGCGTGGTTGGGTTGGTTAGTTGGTGGTGGGCGAGGTTTGGGGCGTGGGGATGGGGCTTACTGGGTGGGCGGAGAAGAAGATGAGTTTGTTGGAGAAGATGGCTCCCCAGATGATGGCTGCGAGCTTTTGACGCGTTAGTATGGGCGTGGTAGTCGGGGTGTTGAGGTGCTTACGATCCATATTCCTGCTTGCGCGATTGGAGCGGTGCCTGAGTCTATTAGAAACCTTCCTTACAGCGTATGCTTGACAGCACATACCGATCCACAGGTTATGGTAGAGAGGCTGCCCATGCATCTGGCTCGCATCTCCTCTTCTGCCTAGAAGCGGCTCTTGTTCACTCTGTCCGCGCGCCGCGGCGGCATTTGGTGGAATTCCCGTCGCAGAAGCCATGCTGTGATGTAGAAACTCAAACGCGATGCTATGAATAGCCTGAGACTCTAGAGAAGATCGAAGGATATAGTGTCAGCCTGCGACAGGTGTCTGAGGGGTGCGCTTCGGACTTTAGGCGATGAGGAAGCTCCGGCAGACAATGACGACAACACGAACCCCTGTTCGTATCCACCAATTAGCGCGATGCGGATGTCAGATGCATCCAACTCCGGCCAATCAGCGCCGAGATGACTAAAGCGTGGAGAAAGTGGTGATGTTTGCATTGCGGGTTTTGGGGGGTGGAGAAGGCGTTCTTGACGCGAGATGCATGTCTAGCGCGTCCACAACGGTCGCGTGAGACATCTTCATCGCACCACCAGACGCAAATGAGGAAGCTGAGCATCGGGTTTGGTGGTTTGAATATGTTCTCGTCTCCGTTACATCGTTGCTATTGTACAAGTTCGCGCTCATCCATAGCGCTGCGTCAGCATAGTCATCCCCGCTGCGTGTTGAGGTATCAAGTCCATGTATAATATCCCCCCTCTTTCTATCCCAAGGCAGAGTTTGCTGCCATAATGCCGCCTAATGAACCATGCCACGGGGAATCATCCTCCACCAGCTGCGTTCGCTCCAAAGTAACAATACGCCGTCAAATGCTCATGCATTCGCCTTGAAAACATTACATCCATTAACAATCCAACTGCATAACCAGACTAAGGATATGAGATGCGAGAAGCATCCCATGTAACAACCAGCGCCTCTAGTGCGATGGTAGTAACGTGGACCACTGTCATGTTCGGTGTGCCTAGTAGCACGTCCAGTGGCTCCCCAACTGCGCCGTTCGCTGATGCAGGTAGGAGCAAAATCGAGTACCGTGCCTCGATACAATGTGTACGTGTGCGTAAAGGTAAAGTCACCCACTCTCACTTCTTCTTCATGAGAGCAGGCTGTTTCGAAGGGTCGGCCGGATCCAGGAACTTGGTCATGGCAAGAGAGAGTTCTTTGAACTCCACCGGCTTCGTGACGTAAGAGTTGAAGCCTGCTTCCACGCACTTTGCGTAAACATCACCGAGGACGTTCGCAGAGAGCGCGATGATAGGGTGGCGGCGGTAGCTATGCTTCTTCTCCCACCGCCGTATTTCTTTGCAAGCTTGGTACCCGTCTTTGTTGGGCATGTGTAGATCACACTGGACGACGTTAGTACTGTCCGAAAGAAACAGACGTTGCTACTTACGAGGATGATCGAGTAATAGCCGGGTGGCTTTGCAAAGACGGTCTCGGTGGCTTGAACACCATCCTGTACCGTCTCTGTTTCAATGTCGATCCTGGCAAGGAATTTCAAGATGACCTGAAGACTATTAGTATGCGAAAAAAGTTACATGTAGAGGCCACTAACCGTTTGGTTGATCTTGTTGTCTTCGACCAGCAAGACCTTGTGGTTCTTGCCACCCACGCGGCGCTTGAGTTCTTCAAAGACGAGCTTTTGGCTGACAACGACCTGCTGTGCGCTGTCTTGATTGCGATCCGTGCTAGACTCACGCTCCTTCTGTGGGTCGAAGATGATGGCAAACTTCGAAGGTTTAAGAGGCCGGTAGATGAACTGGAGGCGTCGATCCATGTGAAGCTGCTCGTAGTCGTAGACCGGTGCTTCTTTGATCAGCTCCTTCTTCTGTGACGGATCCGAGACTACGACAACAGATGTGTTGCCGTACGCCATGGAGCTGAAGATCTGGTCCACGATGGCGTGCACCTCGGCAGTGTCGTGCAGCACTAGAACAACATGGGTGAATAGCACGGGATTGTCGCCACCCATCATCTTCTGCGCCTCGATGACGCTAGCTTGACCCGTCACTTGATGAGGTATCCCTTGAGGAAGCGTGTTCCTGATGTGTCGGATCGTAGCTTCCCTACTATGCTCCAGTGGGCACACCACCAGTATAGAATACATGGGAGGTTGTAGAGCACTGCCAAGCGGTGACAGACTACGATGAGGTGAAGACGCACGGAGCGTCTTGTCCGAATTGATGGAGGTGGAAGAGTCGGGCTTGGGGGCTTCCTCGCTATCGGTTCTTTTGGGTGGCAGAGCTAGTTTAATATCCGCGTCTGAAGCTGGGCTGGCTTCCTGCAGGTACGAAGACGCAGAAGATCTTTCCGAACGCAAGCTCGACTGTCCAGTAAGAGCGGCACTTGTCAAAGAGTGATCCGAGCTACCAGAGGAGAGGGACGGAGAGTCGCGCGAACGCTCAGAGGCTGAGAGACTAGATGCAGGCGACCTGACAGGTTCGCTCTTGTCGGAGGAGACGCTTGATACGCGCTTGATCGGTGCTTGGCTAGGATTTTGTGACTGAACAAATTTCTGAAGAGCCGAGGGCTGGGGTAGTGGAGGCACTGCTGGCACTGCGAGCGGCGTCTCAAAAGCTGGCGTGCCTGGTGTCGACACCTGCGGCCTGGGGAAGTCGTCGGCGGTGGGAAGCCCAAACTTGATCGTGAAGAAGAAAGTCGAACCCTTGCCTGGCGCACTTCGTGCGTCCATTCTACCTCCATGTAGCTCGACGAACTGCATAGAGATAGCCAAGCCGAGTCCTGTTCCGCCATGTTGCCGGGTGCTGCTGGCGTCAATTTGGCTGAATCGCTTGAACAGGTACTTGGCCTCAGCATCTGTGAAGCCTTGACCGGTGTCAACCACTTCGAACCGAACCATGGTCTCGTTGTCTCGCAGGGGCCGAGATCGATCGGGTGGTTGCAATCTGCATCGGATAAAGATTTCTCCTCGCTCGGTGAACTTGATTGCATTCCCAACCACATTGAGAAGAACTTGGCGAATGCGGAACTTGTCACCCTTGACCTCTGCTGGCACACCTTCGTCCACAAGGTAGTTGAGTTCAAGGCCTTTCTGTATGGCTAAGCCCATATTCAAGTCATTGACCTCTTCAAGAAGCGACGGCAGATGGAGCCATTCCATAGACAGCTTGATCATACCGGCTTCGACCTTTGACAGATCGAGAATGTCGTTGATGAGGTTCAGCAGACTGTCGGTACTAGCTTTTATGATGTTGACATGCTCCAACTGCTCAGAGTTGAGCGTGCTGTCAAGCAGGAAGTTGACCATGCCGGAGATACCGTTCAGAGGAGTACGGATCTCATGGGACATGTTACTGAGGAACTTGGACTTTGCATCCATGGTTTCCTTCAACGTCTGCTCGAGCAGCTTGTGGTCATTGATGTCGGTAGCTGTGCCATACCAGGTCTCTTCATCGCCGTCTTCAGAGAGTGAATTCTCTAACAAGATCCTGACCAGATGCCACCTGTAGTCACCGTCTTTGTTGCGAAGTCGCACTTCGGTGGAATACGATGCCCGTCCATCTGCATCCTTTGCAACCCTGAGAATACCAGTGCTTGCTAGTTTGGACAACTTGGCCTGAGGCATGTCCATGCGGTCTGGTACTGATCCACCTGGGCTGGTGATTGTTCGCTCAGTCTCCGATGAAGCGTCCGATGAGTTTGAGTCGGTTCTACCGTGATCTGCTGGCATTGAAGTAGGCACATTGGCGACTCCGTGTTCATCTAACTCGGGAAGCTTGCACTTGACAACGTCATCAGGGTGCACATGCTCCAAGAAGCCGTTGCCCAGGGCATGAATCTCACTCTGGCCAGAGAAAGAAATCCATTGGGAATTGCAGAACGTTAAACCTCTGCGATCGGACACGACAAACACAATCTGCGGGCTCGAGTTCGCCAGCGCGCGGTATTTGGCTTCCGACGCGGCCGTCTCCTGTTGTCGAGCAGAATTGAGTTCAGCAATATGCTGTTCGTGGAAATCCATGTTGGTACCGATCCAGTGAACAATCTGCTGGCGCTTGTTCTTGAGTGGGGCGACACGAACGTAGAACCATCGGTAGTGGTGATCGAACCTTTGCAATCTCACTTTCTTCTGCAATTGCTGACCAGTGCGTAGCGATCTGCTCCACTCCTCCAGATACGAATCGCGATCCTCTGGGTGAATTGAATCCCATGGGTCTTGCAACACCTGCCGTTGATCCTGGCCTCTATATATCAGGAATTTGGAGTTGACCCAAGTAATTGCTCCGGTATTGGGAGCGGCGGTGAAGATCTGCACCGGTAATGAGTCGGTGATTGTCCGGAGTAGACTTTCTGAAGGAGGTGGCATGTCAGACGTTTCGGTGATGGACGGTCTCCTCACATGACCATGCGGGGCCTGAGGCTTCCCACCGGGTGTTGTCGCCGATTGCAAGGACTGGAATGACGAGCTGAAGTCTGCACCGTATGAGTGCAAGAACGAATGGCCTCTGTTGGAGTTGCTCTGCATCTGGGCGCGACGCGTGCTCAACGACTCGTCTGGCTTATCGCTACGTGCCTTGGAAGCATCGTCATTGGCCTGTTCAGCTACTGGGTTTACAGTCACTCGCTTTGCAGGACGCTTGTCTGTCTTGCGGGCAGCTTGTTCATGAGGCGTCGAAGTTGGGGCGTTCAACGTTTTGCCATATTGTTTTCTCGCATCGAAGTAGCTTTCAACCGCTTCGCTACCTGCAAGTTGGCCAGGGGTACCGCCCACGGAGTGTCTGCTCGAGAATCCGACGGAAGAAGTGTCCCAGCCAGGTGTTCCGGCGATGGAGTCTCCGGGACTGTGCTTGGATCGACCCGAGTAGTCGGAAGGACTAGTAACACTGCCCGCTGCTGAGTTGGTGATGTCTTCCAGATCAAGGTGGAGCAGATCGTCGAGGCTATCGGAATCCGAGGGGAGGCTAATGCCGCCAGAAGTGCCAGCTGTCATGCGCCGCTGTCGGACCGAC